CCAGCCGGATCCCTGCGGACCTGCCAGAGGCGCGGTGCCTGTGTCTGGGCTGCGTGAACCCCTTCACCATGCAGGAGGACCGCAGCATGGTGAGCGTGCCGGTGTTCAGCCAAGTGCCCGTGCGCCGCCGCCTCTGCCCGCTGCCGCCGCGCACCGGGCCCTGCCGCCAGCGCACGGTCATGGAGACCCTCGCCGTGGGCTGCACCTGCATCTTCTGAACCGGCCGGCCCAGAACCTGCGGACAGCTGGAGACCGCCTTCCCGCACCCCTAAGCGACACGAGGCCAAATGAAAAGTAAACGCTGTCTTTCTAAAGCAAGGCCTTGGGTTTGCTCCTTGTGGCTCTACGGCCAACACCAGGGTGGGGGTAGGAGGTTTCTGGGAGGTAGATTTCAGATCAGTATAAAGGAGGACTTGCCATCACTCAGAGTTCTCCAACACTGAAATAGATTATTTAAAAAATACTGCATTTATTCCTACCATTTAGGACAGTCACAGACTTCCTTTAATTTGGGCTTATAAACCTTATTTCAGCCATGTTATTGGAGCTTGGTTGGCATAAACCTCTGTAGGAGTGACCAAGTGTTAACTATCCCCAATTATGTCCAGGGCCACTGCAAACAATCTCTTTGGAAGCAGTGAGCTCCCTGTCTCTACAAGCGTCCAGCTAAGGCTGGGATTCTCAAGAATAATTTGAAGCAAATTCCTGCTCTAGGTGGAATAAGGTCTCTTTCAACTCAGATTCTCTGCAGGTCAGCCTTAGGCCTGGAGAAGGGCCTCTGGGTTGCCAAAGAGCAGGGGTTTTTAACCTGGGTCGTTGAGCCCCTGAACTTGTCACCTGGAAATGCATTAATTCTGGTCTGGGGGTCTCTGGCTTTGAATAAACACTCAAGAGTTGAGAAGCATCAACACAGATCATTCTTTTATCCAGCCTTACCCACGGGGATGCTGGTTAGATGGTTTGCTGACATCAGTGGTTCTCAGACTTTAGCTTGTACCAGAATCACCCGGAGGGCTTATTCAAACACAGATTGCTGGGCCTCACACGCAGCAGCTCTGATTCTGTAGATTTGAGGTGGGGGCTCAGACTTGCATTTTTTTTTTTTTTTTTTTTAATCCTCACCCGAGGACATTTTTCCATTTTTTCGTTCAGGTAGAGTGGGAGGGAGAGAGAGGAACAGAGAGAGAGAGAAACATCGATGTGAAAGGGACACATCGAGTGGCTGCCACCCGCACAACCAACCAGGGCCGGGGACAAACTGCAACCAAAGTACGTGCCCTTAGCGGGAACCGAACCCGGGTCTCTCCGGACCGCAGGCCGACGCTCTAACCGCTGAGCCAAACCGGCCAGGGCCAGACTTGCATTTTTAACGTGGTATTTCCTGCTGCTGGTCGGAACCACTGGTTTATATCAAGACACTTTGCGGATCAAAAATGCAGGGTGGATTGACTTGCTCTAAAGCTCCTGCTGGCTTCTGCCCCCTAGATGCTAATTCCCACCCACCCATAAGCCCCTTGCAACTCAATCTTCCCCCTGCCCTTCTAGCCCCTGCAACAAATCCTAAATCAGCTGCTCTTGGGTCTAAAAATACCTGTCCTCCCCCAGGACAGCTGAGGGGCTCAGGCTATTTTCTGAGAGTAAGAATAGCTGGCACTTTTAGAGTTCATTTCAGTAGGAAGGCCATTAGCCAGTATAGAAATACTTCGCTGCTCTAACTTCAGTGCTTACAGCAGCTTTAGCTGTGAATGTATTAAGGCTCCATAATTTATGAAAAGGCACTGGTTAGCTATGTGTCTGTCTGGGGTGGTAAGTAACTTACCTTTTTTGGTATTGTTCTAGAGTGGATACTGGTTAAAATTACCCCAGGAAGCTTCGGCCTGGCTCCAGACACATGGAAAATAGATTTCTTGTGCCAGCCCCAAGATTTCTTGATGCCTTCAGCAGCCTTGTCTCCTCCCTGGGGGGTTGCTTGTCTCTGAGGCCCCCACAGCCTGCTCTTTAGGCCTTAAGAATTGGGCTTCACATGAGGGGCCCATGGCCTCCAAGGCCTTTTTGTGGGATGAGGGTGTGGGAAGATTCGAGCAATAGGAGGGTTGCTCTAGTCCTGGGAGGAGACCCCAGGTGCCCTGGGGCATAGGGGTTGGGTGGGGAAACTCCTCACCTGGTGGGACTCCTACCAGAGCATCAGACACACAGAGATGGTCAATAAACGCCAGTTAGTTTATTAGCTTTATATGGATGTTGGCTTTTTCTTTTTCCAGGCTTCAGTTTTCTCACCTGTGAAATGAGCAGATGGGATTGAGGGCTCTCCGGGGTCTCTTGCAGTTTTATCATTCTGTGACTCAGGAGCTTGGTCTGGTGAGCCTGGGCTGGCAGCTGGCCTATCCCAGTTCCTTCGTTTAAAGGCAGCAGCGGGGAGCTCAGGGCCTTTGGAGAACCAGGTCTACATTGTGCCCCTAACTTCCTTTGAGTTTAAATGTGTTTAAATGTGTTTCCTGCTTTCCACTGTCTGGTGAGAATCCCCCACTTTGTAAGAATAGGGGCCTTATCTGCCGACTTCAGCGCTGTACCCCCAGCATCTAGCACAATGCCACATGCAAAAGAGGGGTGCAGAGCTTGGTGAATAAATGGATGCATTGCATTCATGCACAGAGGCCTCCAGGGGAGCCCAAGATCTGCCCAAGCTCCCTCTGTTGCTCCTTCAAAGGAGCAGGCATCCCCCCCACACACACACCATCCCTCACCCAACCCTAACTCTACTCTCCACAGCCCTCCTCCCCGCAAAGAGCTAAAAATCCTGCTTGAGTCACCTGCTACGTTGCCCCCAAGACTACTGAGAAAGTGGCCTCTTTCCTGTTTTGTCTGGCAGATTATAGGGCTCTCTGTCTTTGCAAATACTCTCTCTTCTCCTAGAGGGCCGTGGGTCCTTGGGGGCTTCTGGTGGGCCTGGGGGCAAAGGCTTTCTGTGAGTTCTCATGCTGCCTTCAGGACTCTCTGCCCTTTCCTTGTAGGCGGGAAGGTGGTGAGATCCCACTCCTCAGGTTTGGGCTTGAGGAAGCAGGCAGCATGGGCATTTTGGCCCGATTTGGTTCTGAGCTGTTCAGGCCTGTCGACCCAGGCGAAGGACGTGTCTGAAGCAGCAGCCAGCTCCACCGCAGTCAGGGCATGGAGCCAACGTGCCAGCTTTGGGGATCAAATGCATCGGCCCTGCTTTGCCTCTCTGTGCCCATCCTTAGGGATGCCAGAGAGGGGTGGTTGTCAAGGACAAGTTTGGTATTGGCCTTGATCCTCTGGCCTAATGCCTATGATCATCAGTTACACCAGGATAGCCCGGGGCATCTTCATTTTAAATACAAACCATGAGAAGATGCCACTACACGTTGATTTTGCTGGACCTGAGAGGAGGGAGAGGGCACAGGCCATTCTACCTGCGGTTGATGTACTTCTTCCCTTTCTAACCGTCCCCCCAGCCCCCCACCTTGTAGTTTGGATGAGACCACCTCGGATCCAGGGGTGGGGCCTGACTGTTCCAAGCCAATCAGCTTAATATCATCCCTGGGCCAGTAGCTGAGTCCTAAGCCAATCAGCATGTGGCATGCAGTTGGCCACAAGAATTAGTTCAGCAGGGGCCCCACTGGCCCAGAGCCCAGACTTCGGTTCAGGGGTCATGGGAGAAGACCCTCTCGCCCTGGGAGCTGTTGGCAGCCATCCTTGACCATGAGAGAAGTAATGGCGCTGGCATTGCACAGTGCCCTGGGCCTGGACTGTTATAACCAATAAAACCCTTTTATTGCTTAAGCAAACCTGAGCTTGGTTTTCTACTGCATCAACCAAAAGCATTCTTACGGACACGTCAACTTCCTAATTCCTGTGATAACCAAGGGCGTGTTTTTTGCACTTTGAAGGCACCATCTCTTTCAGGACCACTATCATCACCTCGACACAGTAAAAGCTTCAGAGACAATTTTGGCCTCCGCCTGCTTGAGGGCATTTTGCCCCATGCTGAACTCAATTAATTTTAAGGAGACGCTCCAGATTTAAGCTCTGTTCTAGGAACTCACTGAGAGACCTTGGGCAAGTTATTTCCTCATTTTGGTTTTATATCTCTATTTCTTAAAAAAAAGGTTACCTGGGTGACCTCTCGGGCTGATTCTGTTATGAAAGCCGCAACATCAGTCATGTGGCTGTGTGTGTCCTCCTGGGCCTAGCTCCAGAGCAAGACTGAGCAAGTCTGGGTGGGACTTGGGCATCTGACTCAGGTTAACCTCTGAACTCCATCCCACCTTTTCTTTCTTTACTCTGCTGGGGTCAGTGTTTGGGGGTCAGGTAGGACTGCCCCCCACCATCTGGGGACTTGTCTCCATGTAGGACAGATCATCGTCATACTCCTCAACCCCTGCATAGTGGACAGAATGGTCAGTTCCTCCAGGTGCCAAGGACGTTTTCCTCTTCCTATGGTCTGGTGTTTCCTGTTTCCCATTGGCTGCCAGGAAGCTCAGAGCTACACTGACAGGCCCGCTGGGGTAACCCTCTCTTTCTGGGGCCCTACCAGTCATTCCCCCAACATGTGGTGTCACTGAGAGGCTTGGATGGTGTCTAGTAAGTTCTTAACTAGGTACCTCACATCCAACAAGCCCTCAGTAAATAGGAGCTATTAACATGTCTCCTGTTTTCTGATTTTCCCTTCTGCTTTATTTGTAACCACCTGGTTACCTGTTTCATTGTTGGTGTTGCCACAGGTACATTTTGGGAGTAGGTACTGATAAACAATAAAGAGACTGGATTCGGAGTTCTCTGTCTTATATTCCCTCCCATCGTTATCCCCATCTCCTAGTTACGAAACCAAGTCAGAAGCAGCTGGAGATGAATTTTTATTTCTTCTTTTAAAAAAATAAATAAAATGGATACACTGGTTTGAACTTCCTTCCCTTCTCTTACTCTCTCTCTTAAAAAGGAACAAACCACTCTGAGAATCCTTAAGACAGAGAGGCAGAGAGCAAGCCACCCGGACCCACTGGAGAGATGACCTGGGCGCGGGAGGGGGCTGGGGGCTGGGCAGGCGAGCGTGGCTTGCGCAGCCATGGCCGCTGTGGGGGTGATCCATCTTCGGCGGGAGTGGACGTTCCCAGGCTCGGCCCTCACAGTTCAGTCTTTACCTTGTGCATCAAGTCCTTCTGGTCAATTTTGTCTAGGTCCTGGTACCAGCGGTTGTAAGCCAGCAGGGCCACGTTTTTGGCAGCTACAGCCATGACCTCCACGGAGCTGGCTGCCCACTCCAGGGCATTGAGGTGGAAGAGTTGGTCATGGAGTGCGAACCGAGGGAGGGTGGTGCGGGAGCCGTGGCTGGGGTGGGCCTGCCACTCGGCTGTCTGCACTGAGTAATAGGAGCGGAAGAGGGTCTTCAGCTGGGACCGGAGGAGGGGCTTGTGGGACTGGACCCGCCAAACAGCGGCCTCCTGAGGCTGCTTGCGTCGGAAGCTGGTTGAGATGTTGACAGGACAGATGTTGTCCAGGGCACAGAAGAAGGTGGGGAAATCTGTGGTAAGGATGCTGGCGAAGGGGAAAAGCTTAGGGTCGGGGAACCCGAAGTAGGAAGAGTTGAGGTAGCCGTGGACCAAGGAGACCACGGTGGGCGGGAAAGAGTCCTGGATGACATCGATGGGCGGGTCGAAGCCTTCAAAGGTGATGGTGCTGCTGTTGTCCAGGTGCAGGGGGGTGGCGATGACCACTATGTCGTAGACGTCGAAGCCAATGCCCATCTCATTCTCATACTCCACCAGGTACAAGGGTTTCCCTTCTGGAAGGAGGGAGAAGAGAGCACAAAAGTCAACGTAGTTCTTGGCTTCTACCCACCGATCTCCCACCTGGGGCCCAGCATGGAGGGTATGAGGCCCTGGTGCAGCTGGGCTTTCCAGACGGTGGGGATCGTCCTTCCATGCTGGTGTGGCTGCAGGGCGAGCACTGGCCTGGGAGTCAGGAGACTCCAGCTCTGGCTCTATTTCTGCTGCCTGACTGTGGCTCAGAATCCTCGGTGCTCAAATGAATAGAACTAGATCAATGCAAATCTGTTTTCTGGCTCTGACCTTCGAATCGGGACAACAGTGCCCTCTGGTGTCACTTGGCAATGCTGGGACTTTCCCTTGGTTTTTTTTTGGAATTCTCCCAGGCAGACCAAACTGGAATTTAGGGACAGAAGAGGTGTGTCACTGTCTAGGAATGGAGTGGCCATGCCCCCTGCTTTGTCCACTTACCTGTATGCTGCAGGGTCACAGAGGTCACTGTGGCATGGATCACGTTGGCCTTGGTGAGCTTCAGCAGACCGGAACAAACCAGCTTATTGCCTCCCTCCACAGACCACAGGATGCCCTGGGCTCCGGCTAGCGCCATGGCTCCTGGGCAAAGGGAAAAGATGGCCGGTGGGTTCTCAGACTCACTAGACAATGGGGCTGAAGAGTCCATCACCATCTTGCCTGGGCCTCCCTCCCAGGCCAAGACCCCTCCCAACCATGGGCAAAGAGAGACAACACACACACAAATAAATGCAACAATGTTACAGTGCTAGGAAGTGAAGACACCTATGCTCAATGCAAGAGCCAGCTACAAAAGAACACAGATTGTATGATTCTATGTATACAGATTAACCAGAATGGGCAAGTCCATAGAAACACTGAGCAGATTTGTGGTTGTCTGGGTTGGAGAGCTGGGGGTACTGGGGAGGTGATGGCTAAAGCTAAAGGCATGAGGTTTCTTTCTTTTTTTTATCCTCACCCAAGGACATTTTTGCATTTATCTTCAGATAGGGTGAGAAGGAGAGAGGGAAGAAGAGAGAGAGAAACATCAATGTGAGAGAGACACATCGATTGGTTCCCACCCCCATGACTCCAACCAGGTCCAGGGATGAACCACAACCGAGGTACGTGCGTGCCCTTAGCGGGAATCAAACCCGGGACTCTTATCCACAGGCCAACACTCTAACTGCTGAGCCAAACCAGCCAGGGCAGCATGAGGTTTTTTTAGGGGCAATGAAAATGTTCTTAATTGTGGTGATGGGTGCACAACTAGGAATATACTCAAAGCCACTCAATTGTACACTTTAAATAGGTGAATTGTGTCGTATGTGAATTGCATCTTGAAGGATACACACAACATACTAAAAAGGGAACAGGGAAGCCCATGAGGAGACACTTAGCAGGACCTGAGGGCTGGGATGGGCTAGCCATTCCAAGAGCCAGAGGAACAGTATCCTGGGTACATGGGAGGTGCTCGTTAATTATAAACCTTTTCATTCATTTATTCACCAAAAATGGGCTGAGTGCCTACAATGGTCCAGGCACTGTTCTAAGTGTTCGGGATACATCAGTAAACAAAGGAGAAAGAGATCCCCGCCCTCAGAAAGCATACATTGTAGTGGGAGATAAAATAAGTAAATTTAATAGTCTGTTAGAAGACAAAACCTGCAGGGTAGGGAGACTGGGAATGCTGGACATAATTTAAAACTGGGAGGTAGGGTAGCTTCAATTAAATGGTACCACCTGCACAAGGGCATACTGGGGAGACAGTTTACCATGATTGCCTCAGGGAAGAATGTTTCAGGCAGAGGGATGGTCACACAAAGCCCTAAGGTGGGGAACACACCTGGAACACTGGAGATACAGTGAGGAGGCCAGAGTGGCACTGGGGTGAGTGGGTGGGGGGAGGTGGTGGGGCCTAGATCATGTGGGGCCTTGCAGGCCACTGAAAGGACTTTGGGTTTCATACCCAGGCCTGACATAACCTGGCCCTTGTTTTACAAGGATCATCCAGCAGATGTGTTGAGACAGTCTGTCGGGGCAGGGATGGGGGAGGTGTTGGCGGGCCTGGTGGGAGACTTGCAGTAGCCCAGGTGAAGGATGCTAGTGGCTTAGACCAGGGAGGAGGCAGTGGTGGGAAACTGTTGGGTTCTGGTACATGTGGAGAGAAGCAGGTATTTCTTGACATTCCATATGAAGGATATGAGAAAGAAATGAGACAACGCTTTGGCCGCAGCAACGGAAAGGAGTTATGACCAACCAAGTCGGGAGGGGCAGGCTCGTGGGGAAAGGTCAGGAGCTCAGGTTTGGATGTGCTGAACTTGAGATGCCCTTGAAACCTGCCAGTGGAGACACAGGGGGCAGCTGACATGTGAGACTGCAGTCCTGGAGAGAGGTCTGGGCTGGAGGTCATGTTTAGGAGGCAGGTGGGTGAATGTACCACCTTGACACTGATGAGCTCACCGACGGGGCTTGAGAAGAGGACCAGAGACTGAGCCTGGGCCCTTCCACGTTATGGGGCTGGGAGGAGAGAAGGGCCCAGCCAAGCAGGCTGGGGGGAGAGGCAGGCGGGTGCCTGTGCAATTTCTTGGCCTTGAGTGCCCCTGCCCTCCTTCCACCCACTGCCACAGCAAACTGCTACCCCACCTCCCGAGGCCCAGAATGGTGGCCATGCCTTGGGGAAGACATGCCCCAGTGGCTCTCCCGGGCAGACTTAGTTTGATACTTTCTGTGGCCTGTGCTGGAGGACAATGGATTGTGTACATGCTCACTGGCCCCAGTCATGAACTGGGAAAATTAGATGCGTTAATGGATGAATTAACCAGAGGCCCCTCCATGGGGTACGTTCCTAAAACTAACCTAGTCAAGAGTAGTATAAACCAGCCTGATATGGTTCAGTGGTTAGAGTGTCAGCCTGTGCACCAAAGGGTCGTGGGTTCAATTCCTGATCAAGGGCACATACCTGAGTTGCAGGTTCAATCCCTGGCTCCAGTCAGGGTGTGTGCAGGAGGCAACCAACCAATCATTGTGTCTCTCTCACACTGATGTTTCTCTCTCCCTCCCTCGCTTCCTCCCTTCCACTCTCTCTAAAAGATCAATGGAAAAAATATCCTCAGGTGAGGATTAACTGAGAAAGAGTAGTAGAAACACACTGGACCTGAGGTCCAAGCCTCGTTCTCACCACCCACGAAGCAGGGTAAATGCCGTCTCCTGCCAGCATGGAGGACCAATGCCAGAATCAAGTTGGGTTAGGGCAACCATACCGAGCCAGGCAGATGTGCGGTTACTATGGGGAGCCCAGCCCATGCTGGGCACTGTGGGCCAGGGAAGGGCAGGTGGGCAGGCCAAGGGCTGCAGGCTCACCAGCAAAGGCGGGCATCGCTGCTGACTGGCCGTAGCTGGCCCGCAGGACGGCAGAGACGATATCGTCGATAAAGCGCTGTGTGACGCCCACCTGGAGCAGGGACTCAGCCACAGAGCGCTGGGTCATGTTGATGAAGCTGGATTCCCCCAGCGAGTAGAGCAGCTCCTCCACGCCCGAGAAGGCGTAACCATGGGCCTGGTACTTATAGATCCTGGGAGACATGTGGAGCTGGAGTCCTTGTGCTGAAGGCCTTTGGGCTGACCCCCCACTCCTGGGTTACTTCCCCTGGGAGGTTCAGCAGAGACCCACCCTCCTTTCCATGTAGAGGTCAAGAGCAGAGGCTGGTTCCATTCCCCTTGGTCTGGTCACTGGCTATGGTAGGCCAGTCCCGCCCAGAGGGAAGGGCAAACACCCCAGAATCTCACTAGACCTGGCTTTACATTGTGGCTCTGCTGAATGACAGTTGCAAAAGTTCTCTGAGCCACTCCCTGCCTGAGGGCACAGCCCTCTTCTCACCCAGCTGGGACACAGACGCATCCCCCTTCTCTAGCAGCTTTGCCTCCGCCCTGGCTCCTAGGACCACACAGGGCACAATGGCAGCTGCCTCCTGCCAATGTGTCACCCTCTCTGCTAGCCCAGCCTGTACTCTCCTCTAGCTTGATCTAACAGGACCCCCACCTACTCCCCAAGCTTATGTCTGTCCCTCCCTCCACACTCCCCCAGCCGTAGGTAGCATGTGCTGATGGGCTGCTGGACAGGCTGGCCTTTGAAACGTTGCCTCTGCTTGGGCTGCTGTGTAAACATGTTGACTTTGGTTATCAACAGGACACCCAGATGAAGGTGTCCAGAAAGCAGTTAGACATGTGGGTCTGGAACTTAAGGGGAAACCGGTGACAGGTAGAAGTGTCTCCCGCAAAAGAGAGAACTCGGCATTGTGTGTTTGGATGCAACTGACAAGGGAGGAAGACAAGGAAGAGGGATAAGGTCATAACGTTTGGGGGCTACCTGGAGAATGTAGGGAGGAAGTGCCATCAAAAGCATCTATAAGCCCTCCCTGCTTTGCTTTATTTCACCTTCATGTAATCTTCCTTACATTCCTTCCTTCCTTAATCTCAAATAAAGAAAAAAAAGTGAAAACTGTTTAAAAAAAAAAAAAGGCAGCTATGAAAGAGGAGGGAGGGGAAGGCAGAGACCAGAAAGGAGGCCTGGAGGCCGCGCCGGGGAGCCCCGCGCTGACGTCTCTACATCTGGCCCAGGAAGCAGGAGAACCTTCGGAGGGACTTTGAAGGAGAACGCCAGCTTGGCAACCGAGTGGACTATGAGACGCAGACAGAGTGACCACAGACCCCTGGTCCTCGTTATCTGGAAGTGATGGGGAGGGGCCAGGACAGGAGGAGGAGAGAAGGTGTTTGTTCTCGATGGGAAAACCGGGGGACAGCAGAGTTCGTAAGGGTTAGCCCACAGGCTACATATGGCCGACAGATGTCTTTCACTTGGCTAATACGATGAATTGGCTGCAGACATTGAAAAACTGGGAGATTTCACATGTAACTCTAGGTTTTCTGCTTCGTCTGAAAAAACTGAAAGATCCAGCCACGTTCCCACATGGCCACAGTTGGCTCTAGCGGAATGCTGGCTGCCCCCTCTCAACGCCTTGCTCTTCAGGGCGCCCACTCCCCACCCTTCCTTCCCACCCGCGGCTGCATATCCCAGGCCCACCCTTCTAGGGGCCTGAGTCTACAACCCATGCGTAGTTTAGCAGTTAAAGAGAACGCTAGTGACAATACCAGCGACCATGCCTGGACCAACTCAGCACGTTCCTCACGGCTTGCTCCGGACCTGGCCCGGATGGTGCTGGGGTCTTGCCCCCAGCAAGCACCTTTTCCTTTTTGACAATTTCCAGTCAAGCTAGTTCCCTGCCTGCCTCCTTCCCTCTCTCCTTCTGGAAGCCCCACAGCTCCGCCCAGCCCTACCTCATGAACTTCTCCATGACCTCCTCCACCCACATCTGCAGCCGCAGGAAGCTGATGCCGTAGTGCCACCAGAGGCGGAAGAGGTTCAGCAGGTACCAGTCTGTCTCCTCCAGCACGAAATGCTCCCCGCCGAAGATGGCGCTCCTGCCCACCACCTCTCGCCGGTGTTTCAGCCCTGAGGAGACAAGGAGGAGCCCCTCAGGTCCCCTTCGGAGGCCCCCCAGGAGACCCAGTGGTGCCTGCAGCTGACATTTGGGGCCTTCCTGAAGGATGCAAAGGGACTGGCTCCACTGGAGGGAATATGAACACTATGGTTTGTCCATCTGTGCTGCTTGTGTAAATCAGTAAACTGTCCAGAGGAGGGGGTCAATGGGGAAAAAGGAGGGACATCTGTAATACTTTGAACAATAAAGATAAAAAAGTAAAACAGTAAACCAATGCACTGGGGAAACGTTGGGACTGAGTAGTCAATAAAGAGATGAAAATTAAAATAATGTGGCATTCTACTTTTACATTTTTTTCTAAAGAGGTCCACTCAGTCAAGAGTGAAATTCAGATGTCATCCTGGAATGTCAGGGGCAGGCAGCCCTGAGCACCAAGAGCACATGGGAAGAATCTCAGCTCCTTGTAACCACCCACACTCTACAGCCCACAGAGCACAGGGACTTGCATATCTCACTCCATCCTCTCATGGCCTGGGAAGAGGCAGGACAGGTGTTAAAGTTGTGGAAACTGAGGCTTAGAGGTTATCGAACCTGCCCCATCACAGGTTTTGTTTCTTTCCCTCCCATTCCTGTCTCGAGTCACCAGTAAGCACCTTCCTTAAGCATCCTTCAGAAATATTCTGTGCAACTATTCATAAATATGTATCTCTCTGAGTTATTGCCCTCCCCCTATATACTGTACACTGCTCTGCACCTTACTGACATGCTATGTCCTGGAGAATTTTCTATAAAGGCAACCTCATCTGGCTGACCAGTCTGTGTACTTAAACAATCATTTATTTAATCTCATGTTCCAGTGGGTGGGCAGGTAGGATAGTTCCAACCTTTCGCTGCTATAAACAATGCTGTGATGAAGAACTTGGCGTGTCTGCCTCTTTGCACATGGGCAAGTATCTCTTCTGAGAAGCGGAATTTCTGCGTCCAATAGTATACGTACTTGTGGTTTTGACAGATGCTAGAGTGAAATCTCACTTATTAGCTGCATGGCATTAACCAAGGTGCAAACATTTTCTGAGCCTCAATTTCCTCAGGAGATGTAACCTCCATCTTGCAGGTTGGTATTAGAGGTAACGTCTACATACTGTCTACAAGGATGCCAGGCACCTGGCGAGCACCCAGCATGTGCAAGCCATTATGATTACAATTTAAGAGGCAGCAAATTGAAAGGGAAAGAAACTGGCCTGGGAGTCAAACCTGAGTTGTAATCCGGGCTCTGCAACTAACTCACTGTGTAACCTCAGGTAAGTTCCTCCCCCTCTCTGGTCTCAGCTGCTCCATCTGTAAAATGAGATTGGGCTACATGACCTTCTGGCCTTGACCTCTGGGGGTGGGCAGCCTGAGAAGGGCCTGATGGCTGCGGCCAGCCCTGCACGATGGGGCCCCGGGACAGTGCACTCACCGAGGTGCTTGACGAAATCCTGCATGTGCAGGCTCAGGGAGTGGAAGGAGGCGGCCCCGCTCTCATAGTGCTGCTTGTTGACCGAGATAGTGGCCAAGCGGCCGCCCACTGTCCCCTTCTCAAACACGTCGATCTGTACCCGGGGGCCGAAATGCTGCTGAAGGAAATGGGTCACGGCAGAGCCCCCGATTCCAGCCCCGACCACGGCTGCCAGCAGGCAAGGAGACAGACAGAGAATGAGTGTGAGACTGCAGGACACACCTTCACAGCCTCCTTGGCCAATGATTCCCAGGCACTTGCGTAGACTTAGAAGATGCAGAAAGGCCATCTGCAGACTAGTTTTTAGTAAAGCAATTACTAAAGAGCAAAGGACAATCTGAAAACTGCCACCACTGTAACCCTCACTTTGTAAAAAAAAAAAAAAAAAGACATCAGCAACAAAAAAAGCTTAACCTCATAATTCAGGATGATCATTTAGAGACTAAATCTAGTTTGATACAAAACTCATTACATTGTCCCTATTTTTTTTTTTTTTAAACCTTACCAGAGGATATTATCCCATTTATTTTCAGATAGAGTGGGAGGGAGTGGTAGAGAAAGAGAGAAACACTGATGTGAGAGAGACACACATTGACTGGTTGCCTCTCACAGGGACAAACCACAACCGAAGTACATGCCCTTGACCGGAATGGAACTCTCGACTCTGGTCTGCAGGCCAACGCGCTAACCACTGAGCAAAAATGGCCAGGGCCATTGTCCCTATTTTTATTTCACTATTAAAACAGGTACTGTTAAGGTAGGTCAGTGTTTGGAAACCACTCTAATCCAAGGTTTGGCAAACTATAGCTCACAGGCCAAATCTATACAGATGTGTTCTTGCAAAAGTTTTATTGGAATGCAGCCAAACCCTTTCTTTAGCTTATTGTCTCTGGCTGCTTGCCTGTGAGGCAGAGTTGAGTAGTTGCAATAGAGACTATATGCCTGCAACGTCTAAAATATTTACTCTTCGGCCTTTTACTGAAGAAGTCAGCCAACCCCTGGTCTAGTCCAACCTACTACCTGATAATTAAATCATTTTTACATCTGTCTTTGCCAAGACTGGAATGCACCCTGTGATGGGTTGCTCATTACTGCATAGGGTGCTTTATTCTAGTTTAGACTCTTGTTACAAAGTTTCAGCTCTCTAAGGCGTCTTTGGGTCTTATCATCCCTTGCCTTTTCTACACCTCTTGCCTTCCTGTTATTTGCAAATTTGGTTCATATGCCATCAGTATTCTTATCCAAGTCACTGATAAAAATGTTTCACTGCACAGGGCTGTGAGGTGCTACTGGGAACCACTGTCCAGATAGATACTAATCTAGATACTAATACTAAATAAGACTGTGAGAGGGCAGTAAAGCAGCTATGAAGCTACTGACACCTCACCCACCATCTTTGCCCACCATGTATCTGACCCTCTCATCTGACAGTCTAATAACCCTACCCAAAAAGAAAATGAGATAAATCTAGTGTGATCTGTCCTTCCTAGACCTACGTTGGACTCTAAGACTACCAACTTCTATCAAGAAGGCAAAAATACAAGGTTATCATCTGTGGCCTCCACTTACTTATTCCATTCCCTGACCCACCCTTGCAATACTCCACATTCTTATCTGTCTTGACTTCTTTTGCTGTGGAGCATGTGACTTTGCTCTCATGCCTGTGCCTTCGACTGCACTGCTCCCTTTACCAGGATTGCAGTCACCCTCTGCCTCCCTGACTTCTACGGCCCTCAAGTCATTGCTTGGCTTGCCTGACTCACCTAAGGAGTGAGGGAGGTGTTCCTCCAGCATTTTTCTGCATCACTCTCATTACCCTTGGCCTGGTCTTCGGCACGTTCTGCTCAAATAGTCTGTTTAAGGACTGAAAGCAGGTCACTATGCACCGCCCCCCCGCCCCCATCCTGGCAGGCAGTAAAGTTCATTAAGTGTTTGTTGTACCTTGAAAAAACAAACCACTTCCTCCTTTGCAGTGTTTAAAAAGCCACTTCTGAGAATGCCATTAACCCTTTTACACCAGTGTGCTCCCCTCCCCGTCATTGCAAGAGCCCCCAAATTACCCATTTTTCTCAGAGAAAGAGATATCACAAGGCCTGGAAGCTGCCGAAGGGTCATAGGGAAGCAGAAGCCCTCGCTCCTTCAACACCCATGAACTGACACGTCCTCTCTGGTCTATGTAATGTGCTGGGGCACAGGATGAATCAATCAGGGCCTCTCCTCCTGAGCCCAGGCAGGGAGTGGGCAGACAGACTCAAGCAATCAGCTATAACAGTGTGTGTCTAAGTGTGACAATAGGGTTCCAGGGAACCCTGAGGAGGAAGCAACGAGTTCTGCCAAGGGTGGGAGACACGGGTTTCACAGGGGAAGGAACATTTGGTTGGGACCCTGGAGGACAACCAGCTTTGTAGAAACACATTCTCCACAGAAACACATTCCACAGTGTGGGGAACTATGGGGGATTTAAAGGGTTCAATACCTCCACAGAAGTGTTCAGATTTGACCCTGCAATAGTATGAGGGTTAAGTCATGCTAAAAGGAAGTTCCTCATTCTCATTGTGGGTAGTCCAAACCACCCACAGGCGGACCAAGGCTCCGTCAAACAGCTGGGACAATCAGGAAGCTACAGGGCAGCTTGGCATTGTCAAATGTCCTGCTCTGGATGACCCCTGGGGCGAGGTTGGCAGGGCCAGCTGGAATGAGGCAGGCAGCAAGCTTTGCATTGCAAGAAACAGTAGTGCTGGGAGGAGGCCCTGAGCCTTCCCCAGTGGTTAGTGGGGAGTGTCCTGCTCTGCTGTCCATTTCCAAGAGATGGGAGTACCCAGACCTCCAGGTACTGCTTGCCTAACTCTTCTCCATCCTTCAAAGCCTGGCTCAAAACCTACCTTCTCCACGAGGTCTTCTTTGATCCCTCTGGCCCTCAAGATTCTCTTTCTTTTGAAAACCCCAAACTCTCAGTCCCAAACTGATTTCTGACACTTCAGTCTGTCTTAACCCTTTGTGGCCTGAGCTGTGGTTTTATAACCCAAGAAGCCTTAGCACTGCATCGACCCTAATAAATGTGTGATGCTCCGCCTGGCTGGTGTGGCTCAGCGGTTGAGCATCGACCCATGCACCAAGAGGTCTCCTGTTTGATTCCCAGTCAGGGCACAGGCCCAGGTTGTGGGCCCAATCCCCAGTGGGGGGCCTGCAGGAGGCAGCCAGTCGATGTTCTCCTATCAATGTTTCTATCTCTCTCTCCTTTCCTCTCTCTAAAAATCAATAAAGAGAAAAAAAAAAGTTTGTGGTGTTCCCATGGGAAATCCCTCCCTCCCAAGTGGGGTGCACAGAAGGAAGACGAATGGAGTAGGGACTCCTACTCCCCTACACCAGAAGCCCAGCATCTCTGCCTACCTATGGTCATTTTATGTGAGGAATGTGACAATCTTTGAGTCATGATGAGTTAAAATGAGAAAAAAAAACAACCTGTAAACAAATATGGGATGCTAGTCAGTGATATGTATGATAAAGTACTTAGCAAAGTGTGCCTATGTCTGCAATTTATTTTGAAATCCATTAAAATGTAAGATGGATTAATGGATGTGTAATAGGGATGTGATAAGGCAAGAACCAGGTGGTGGGCATACAGACGATGACCACATAATTCTTTCAACTTTGGTGGGCGTTTGAAAATTTTTCAAAATAAAACACTGGGGGGGTGGGGGGTGGGGGGGGGACAGAAAACACACCCATATAAAATGACTACTGTAAAAAAGTTCCCAACTCTGTCAGTCAGCAAATCTATTTCCAGCAGAACTATCACAGGTTCTGTCTCCACCAGGGCTGTCTCCTACTCTCCCTGAGGTTCTGGTTTGGATGGTACTCCCAGGAAGCTCTCCTGGGCCCCCCCAGAGCCATCAAAGGCTAGGTTGAAGTGCCCTTCCTCTGCATCAGAGTACTTAACAGCCATGGCACTAACTTCCCTGTAGTGTGCAGTCTTCTCCTGCAGGAACTGGGAGCATGTGCCCACCGCCCAGGCCTTCGGTAAACCTTTCTGAGTGACCATCTCCCAGACCCTGCCCTCTGTCCTCCGGCACCTGGCAAAGAACCAGGTCCTCGGCAGATGCTGTTTCTGAATCCTTCGGTGAGATCACTGGCCAGTCCTGCCCCAAGCCTCTTTCCGCCCCAAACAGCCGTCGACACGTGCCCATGCCACCCTTCGCATCAGCCTGGCCTATCACGGTCCCCTTCCTCTCCCGGTCGCGGTCCCTTGCTGCTTCTCCACCCAGCTCCTCTCCCGAGGACCCCTCCGTTGCCCAGCTGCCTTCCCCATCCCCCACCCAGCTGCTGCCGGCTGAACACCCTTTTCCCGCGCAGCCCTCCCCAGCTCAGCACCCCCTCGCGTCCTTCCCACACCGATTTTACTGGGCCGGGCGTCTCCGCCTGTGGCGGCGGCGGCGAGGAGCGCGGCCAGCGCGGCGAGGAGCCGGGCAGCGCGGGCCATGGCGGGCGGCGACGGAGGCAGCACGCCGGGCTCGGAGCTCGCGCGTTGGCGCTGGGCTCACCGCCCCGCCCCGCAGCGCCGCCGGCCGTCCCGCCTTCCAGCCTCGCGGCTCACGGCCTCTCATTGGACAAGTAGCCGTCCCTCTCCAGCACAGGCCCTCATTAGCTGCCTCGCTCTCTGGCCGGGCTCTGTCATTGGCAACTCCCCGTCCCGCCTCCTGGATGTGGGCTTCTCATTGGCTGGCTCGTCCAGCTCCGGTGCAGGTGAGCACTCTTCGGGTGCTCAGCATCAGGACCAGGGTCCTGCTGAGGGGAGACTGGTGGGAGAAGAACTGAAGCTTTGATGGCCTCAGCTCAAGTCCAACATCTGAGAGTTAGTAGCTCTGTGACGTGACTTCTGTGTCTCATTCGTTTTCCCTGCACTGCCCTTCTAGGTGGTTGTGACAATCAAGTGAAATCAGGAATGTGAAAACGCTTAAATTGCTGACCAAGCACGCAGCGGGGGTTACCCTATGTACGTGCTGGAACAAGGCCAGATGCTTCTGAAACCCCCGTAACGTTTATTTGGTTTCTACAGTTAATATCTCTGCCTTCTACTTAAAACAAACAAACAGACAAACAGGAAAGATTTCAGCCACTCTCTCTACTCACAGGGAAGGACAGGTAAGACCGAAGGGATAAACAGCCATTTTCACCCTCTAAGAAAACAAGACTAGTTGGTGTGGCTAGTTTACAACACTGTCAGATTTTCTCTAGCAGGAAATAAAGTTGGGGATGAGTTTCAGAAGAAGTAGGTAAAATCCATATTTATTCAGTTAGATTATGGCTGAGAAGAAACTGAAGGGATTCAGAGAACAGTAAAAGAACATAGAGCTGGTGTCCTAAATCAGCTTTGAGTCTTAAACAGGACCAAACTGAGTTACTAGTAAAGTGGTAGATGAATGAACATGCATTCCTCATAATCTTAAAAACAAAACAAAACAAACCACTACAAAAACAAAAACTTTGGCAATGTTTGTGTCAGAATGCAAGGACTTTTACTTCTATTCAAGAGTTCTTAATTTTTTTTTGAGCAAAGCATTCATTGATAACTATGTGAAGTTCTTTTATGTGCCCACTTAATCCAATTGTGTCAGTTTTTTGTAGGGTAAATCATATTAACTTTAAAATAACTTCTTCACTCTGCTTTTAATTGTAGGGTCCTTGGTAACTCTAGAATCTAGAGGTGTGTTTTCTTCTGCTAGGAAGTTCTTCCAACCCTACCAACACATTGGCAGTGTGGGTGCATTCGAGTTGTAGGATGAGCAAAAAGGCGTAATTCTAATGGTCGAGGTGTAAAACAACTGACTGGGAATGAAGTTGGGTGACTATCAGTTAGCTATTGCTTCATAACAAAACAACCCGAACACTTAGTGGCTAAAAGTAACAATTACTTGCCCCCAAATCTGCATTTTGGGCAGGGCTGTGAGATCAGGTCATCTCTGTTCCTGGTGTTGTCAGGTGAGGCTGAAGGATCCACTTTGAAGATGACTCACTAGATGGCTGGCAAGACGGTGCTGGGCCCTCAGTTCCACCCCGCAGGCTGCTTCAGCTTGTTCTTGGTTTGGTGGCTGGATCCCAAGAGTGAGCATGCAGAGATGGGGTTTGTGTCGAGAAACTGGCAGTGTCACTTCTACTATATTCTATTGGTCAATCACAAAGTTTGGATTCAAAGAAATTTGGAGCCATGTTTTAAAACCTCCACAGTGAGATTAAGAATGTCAAGAGTTGCCCAGCTAATGTGGCTCAGTGACTGAGCGTGGACCCATGCACCAAGAAGTCACTGGTTCAATTCCCAGTCAGGGCACATGCCCAGGTTGTGAGCCTGATCCCGTGCGGGGCATGCAGGAGACAGCCCATCGATGTTCTTGCTCATCTATTTTTCTATCTTTTTCTCCTTCTCCCTTCCTCTCTCCCTAAAATCCATAAAGGGGAAAAGAATGTGGACAGTCTATAAGTGCATAGGAACAAGAATTTACTTACTAACACTGGGAATATGAGAAACAATGGATTATGGAGCTAGGGTGTGCAGACATGATTGGAAGAATGAAAATGCAAGGCCAAACTTGCAGGAAAGGCTGGCTCCAAAGAGGGCCCCTCAGCCAGGAGGCTGGGTATGTAGAAGCCAGCTGAGCAGAGGTGAAGACAAGGTCAGGCAGAGATTGGGAAGCACATGTCAGAACAAGGTCAAGTGTTAGTAATCTGGTTGAAGTTGGTCAGAAATCCAGCAGTACGAGTGAAGTGGTTAAAGCAGACAAGACAATTAGAACCAAGAAGCAAGCATAAGAAAACAAGGCAATTCCAGAGAGGGAGGCAGAAACATGAGTCCAGATCTAAAAAATACATAGGAATCAGAGAGAAGCAAGTCAAGGAGGTATAAAAACAGATAAGACTTCAACACAATGTACGGTGTGGAATGCCTACACTGCATCCATATGGCTGGGCTGCTGCGAAATCTCAAGGTACCTCTACTGAGCACCAAATGAAGTGGGTCAGCAGTCATTGAAGTGACCACAGCATATCAATACACAGTATGAATTAGACAAACATGTGAATTGCAGTTATTTCAAGTCAGGTTTTATTAAAGTTATTTCTGAATATCATATATCATCTTTAGTTTTCTCTATTTGATTTTGCTTTAGTGTTTAAGAGCCTCTCTTCACTTATCAAATCCTTTGTCATGAAAGCACCAAAGAAGTTACATCAGTATCAAACTGATTCCTTCATGGCAATGAGGAAAATCTGTGAGATTTGTAGACTCTAAGTACTAAAATACCAAGATCCCCTCTTTAAAGTGAGCCAAAGCTTCATTACATACCCTCTGCAAGCCAATGTCTTTTCACATAATCATCAAGTGAAAATGATTCAGAGCATCAACACGATTTTCTTGCTCCTTCAGTCTAAAAACGTGGATTTCTTGCGTTATGGTTTAAAAAAACAACAAAACAAACCCCCAAATAATCAGAAGCTGGAAGAAAAATAAATCACTCTGATTAGCTTGTAAGTTTTAATGGTTAAGCACTTCTTAACCAGTATTCCCTTTTCCTAGACTTTAGGTAGCTATATAAACGTAGGAAAAACAATGTGTACAATAAACAGCAATAAAAATAAATATTTGAGAGCCTACTATAATAGGCAATTTACACATTTCATTTGATCCTCAAATAGTGTGAGATTATAACCATTTTACGAATAAGTAGGCTCAGAAGGGTGAAGTGAATGGGGCCCAACGTTACACTGATGACTGAGCTAGGATTTATGTTCAGGTTTATCACTATCAAGCCTATGTCTGATTACGCTAGCCCTAACTCCCAAAAGCCCTTCAACTTTTTGAGATTCTTACTGTCCATTTTCTAAATTTATACTTTTAAGTCAGCAAAAACTACTGAATAATAAAAGAATCTAAAATTATTCTCAATCTACTAGCTAAAACAGGAAGTTACAAGGAATATTAGAAAACTTTTCAAGTAATCAGAACATTCCATACCTAAAATTATGGTTATTTTAATTTTCTAGTAGTGACAACTAATAATCCAAGAACACATGAATAATTATAAGTGGCTCATTTTCTTGTCATTTGTCAATCTCAAAGGACTACAGGTAAAAAAAGGCAAATTCTTATTGTGAAATCTGACTGCTTATTAAATTTACACTATACACTTAGTGGGATGCCAAGAGGTTCTGGTTTTAAAATCTTATCACCAATGTTTTGTTTACATTTTAAAAGCATGCATTTTTTTTTGAAGTGTCCAAATCTGGTGGAGATGGTAGGGCCCATTACTGGATAGCTTTTATTGATACAAGTCTATGTAGTGTCCTAGAATTAATTATACATGATGTCTAAGAGAATAACTTTTCCACTCCACTGAAAGAGGTCACCGAGTTCCAGTAGAAATGGATTTATTTTAGTAACTAACTTAAACCTAAACCTATGCAATTAAAGCAATGAAGGAAAACAAAACAAACCCTAAACCTATGCAATATGGACAGTTAACACTTAACTGTCTGCTGGGGACATCTTTGCATCTTCATTAAAGAACTACTGAATCTTAAATGACTGAAGTTAATATCTAGTTGTTCTTTATTCAAGTTCTCACTGAAATTTAATTCAACAGTTTTAGAAACTTTTTTTGTGTGTGTCCAGTTCTATAAACACTGTTTTCATACTTCAGAAGAAGCAGAAAGTGTAAAATTAGATCATCATTAAGGCCTCTTCTAGCATTAAAATAGCTGTAAGTGACCTCCTTTTTAAAGTCTCATCAATTGAAGAAACCTTTTATGGAACACCAGCTACAAGAAAACTGAAATAAAAAATAAACATATAGGCTCATTAACTCTAGGAAGTCAGTACACAAAAGAGGAATGATATGTTTACACACATGTGATATAAAGGGAACTGGGTATCTTAATTTCTCGATGTTCCCTGCCTTCCAAATCTTGCCTGGGTATGTAGCCCTGTAACTGGGAATCAGAAAAAGACAATGAGTATGAATATAAAGTCTACTTGGCAGGAACTATAAGACAAAAAATGGCTAAAAGGAAAATAATGTCCTGAAAATCTATATGTATAAAAATCAACCCAAACGATCTAAATTCATACAACTATAAAGCTTTATCATCTAAGTACCCAAATGTTGAACCAATCCCTTCCCCACACAATACAAGTTCCTATACAATTCCTGTTATAGGAGCTATTAGAAAGGAACATTCAGTTGAAAATACATATACTCGTTTCCACCTCTTAAAAAGATTTTGGATTGAAAGTCATCAGAGTACTAATTTAAAGAGAATTTTCTTAAATATATTTTGATAAAGGCCATAGGAACACTTGTCACATTGTTCAAATGCCCAATGGTTAAGACTTCTGATGAGACCAAACAGGTCACAGTAAATCAACAGAATGTCTTAGAAATAAAGCCAATATGACTAAACCCAAAACAGATCACATGAAGTAGCTCATGTACATTACAAACCTAGTTTAATAAATAAAGGAAACACAGGCGACTGCACTCCGAAGGACATTCAGTCCCTCACGGCCCATTCACAGTCTTCTCTGAGATTCCACTGCCACTTCCACCTGGGCAAGTCTAATGGTGCGGCCGTGAAGCTTGTAGCCATCTTGCCTTACTAATGCCACCGTGCCAGGCTGCACTCCAACATCAGCCGGCACATGGCAGATGAGTTCATGCTCATGTGGGTCGTATTTGTCACCAATTGGGGTCATCTTCTCCAGGCCATGCTTGGCAAACACACTTTTCAGCTTTGCTTCTAAAAGTGACAACCCCCGGAAGATCTTCTCCAGAGTGAGCTTCTGGTCCCCAGGCTCTGCTTCCTCAGAAATGCATTCTGTCGTCTTCTCCAAAATGTCTGCCACCTCTACCAAGTCCTTACAGAAACTCTGAATTCCTATGGAGAAACCAGACACTTGAGTGTTTGTGAGGAAATCACTCTGCCTTTGGGGTGGAGTTTGGGAAGGGCTGGAGAGGTGGCTAGTATACTGGGCACACCAGGAAGTGGGAAGACTGCCAGAGGGACTCAGGGATCATCATCAACCCACTGACAAGCCAGTTTCTCTTGGAAGGCATATGACTAGGAAGCCTACTGGGAAATGGGGAAGATGGCAGAACCCAAGAACTAGGTAAGACTATTTACAATAAGCTCAGGAACTGGTCCTTCAAAACCGTTTTTATGCTTCTTATATTTTTGTTCCAATTAATTTTTACCACTGAGTTATGTACATTTTGAAAATTCCTGCCGTCTCAGTTATGTTGAGGCATATATTCTCAATGGGGACAAGATATTTGCATTTTATGGCAGGCAATAATAAAGAATTAGTTACCAAGACTATGCTAAGGGGGAGTCAAAAGAGTGGTTTATTTTGAGGACTGGCTAAATAGGAACAGGAAAGTAAGACACATCTATAAATGAGTCTCTACCTGCCTGCTATACACACTTGCTAGAGATGAGCCAAAACTTAGTTTTATCTTTTGAGAGTCACATGAACTGTTATAAGATAAAAGCAAACTCAGTTGTTGAGAAATCTCATTACTCCCAATGCTGCATCTTGATTTTTCTGTCAAAAATGGTAAGGAAGGTCTCCATTACAGATGATAACAGCAACGCCCTGCTAGGGCCTGGTGGGGGCAAAGAACTTTGTCGATCCGGCTTTAATCCAGGAACCGTTTTAAGGCCCCGTGCCAAGAGACAGCCACCTCAACTGTACTCAGAGGTAAGTCGGAAGATCACCCACAGGTGACCCATAAAACAGACCACAGATGAAGGAACGACTGACAGAGGTAGGAATTCTACCTTTAACTTCAGGGTGATAAAAAATCTATTATAGCTTCTTCTAACAAGCAGAATGAGATTAAAATTAGTGTAATAACATACATGATGAATTTGGGGTTGCTGGCAGCATGATAGATGGGCAGGAATAGAAGCTATCAGAAGAACTGGGGGAAACAACTAAAGTAATTTTGTTCTATGGTCTGGAGGAGGCAATGGAAAGGAAAGAGTATAATTAGGAGGTATTTCCAGAGAACTTGGTATGACCAAAGTTGTGGAAGATACCTCCCTGCCTCCCATTGTGGATGGTAGCCAGAAAATGTTAATGGCTCTTAATAAGATCAGCTGTGAAAGTAGAAGACCTTAGCCCAGTGGTTCTCAACCTGTGGGTCACGGCCCCTTTGGGGGTCAAACGACCCTTTCACAGGGGTTGCCTAAGTCCATCGGAAAACACATATTTCCAATGGCAATTCATAACAGTAGCAAAATTATGGTTATGAAGTAGCAGCGAAAATAATTTTATGGTTGGGGGGTCACCACAACATGAGGAACTGTATTAAAGGGTCGCGGCATTAGGAAGGTTGAGAACCACTGCCTTAGCCAAAGGCTTGAAAAGTATGCCCATAAGATTAGTAGTTCACACGAGAGAGAGAATGTCTTATAAAGATCAATCAGGAACATCAAAGGCATCCCCTGGTTATTCAAAAGACAGACACTCGAATAGAATTTTGAAAGCTGTAAGCTTTGGGGCTGACTTGTGTACTGCCACGGTGCAAAGACCCTTGGCTTCTAGTCAGCAAAGTAAAAATTTGGGTAAATAGAAGCCTAGGTTCTTCTGTCTATATAGTGAGGGATTCAGTCTTTGATTCTATTCTAATGATTGTGTTATTTCAAACGAGGTTGGTTTTGCATCATTTCTTAGGGGAGAAAAAGGATCCTTTGTGAACTGTTTAAGAGAATGTGGGTTACTGAGACAAACCATCCCTGGAAGGAGAACAGACATCGTGCCATGTCCTTTAAAAGCACTGTACTTTTTTCATACTTCCATGCTTACTGAGCAATCTTTATTCACGAGGGAATGACCTAAGGAAAGGACTTACATGGCATGTTTTGACAGACACATTCTTGTTCTGTAAACAAATTATATTACCTATTAAATTCTTTTGAGTTTAGTTAATATGTACTTGTTTCCAGGGACCTTGTTAATCCTTGAGGAAACTGATATGAGCCAATTCCTAACTTAAAGTTTGACTCTGGTTAGCCAACTCACCCTGCTCCCTCAAGCAGGCAGGAAGTGTTCCCCAGTTGTCACAATTGGTTTATTTGCTATAAAAATTCCCTGTAGCTCAGAGGTCAGACAGCTTTTTCTGTAAAGGGCCATATAGAACATATTTTATGTTTTATGGGACAAGAAGCAAGATAAAGGATTTTATGTAGGTGATATATAATAAAAAAAGAAAATAAACTGCCACACATTTTTAATGGTGAAATTCAGAGCTTTATTTATGGACTGAGAGGTGGCAGGCTTGGATTGCAGGCTATAGTTTGTCAGGCCCTGACAGTTGTACATAAGAGACTAAAATTTGGAATACAATTGGGGGGTCGGTACTTCGCTGATAATCGAAGCCTTGAAATGTGATGTCTAGAGCATGGAAAGAAAAGCAGAAGGCTGTGCCAAAGCACTGGGGTTGGAAAGGACAGAGATGAAATGAATCTGTGCACAAATAGCTAAAATCCAGAGAAAAGGAAGTAGTGTGACACAGGGGAAATAATAAATGAGGGGGTCAGGAGATAATGAACTCATATCTACATGTATCAAACTCACTTTTGTCAACTTACCTGTAAAAGAAGACTGGACTAGATAGAATCCAAGGACCCCTCAAGCACTTTCCTTCTATGTGTAGTGAAAGTATAACGTTACATATTAAATTGTGAGTATAGCAAGTAATCACAGATGTGCCCTTTACCCTTGAAGCCCTGTTACTCTAACACTTTCATGAATACATCTGGAACAAGATGTGGTGTATTTAGAGAAACATTTTTGAAAGACTTTGAAATTTATTCAATATCATCAATGAAAAATTAATGTGATCCGGCATAGCCTCCAGGGTTGTCTCCTTCCATGTGGTCCAAGCTTTTGTCTCTGAGTTATTTTATAACTTAGCAAGTTGTAAAATACTGAGAATAATGCAAATAATTCCTGTCTACAATCATAAAAATTCTCTGGTGGAGATACAATTGATTATCGCACTAAGATACAGACCAATTTTGCTATTATAAAGCAAATTTCAGCAGTCCTGATTGCCAATGTGTCTGTTTTTTGGATTCCCTTCTGAACATCTTAATGATTCACTTGTTTGTTAATGAATTAAACACAATTGTTTGTATGAGCACTAGAATGTTAAATGTACATGCTATGGAATTTGTGGAAGGGTAGGGTAGGAATCAGTTAAGGACTCAGACGCGTTTTCACTATGTTCAGTTTGCAGAACTGTTAGTAAGTGGCCTTTAAGTAAAAGCTGTTTTTTATTGTGAATAAACCTCTCACCAAATATCTTGGCATCTTCTACACATCTCTGGGTTCGCCTTCTTATGTTTTCACCATCAGCGATAGCTCTCTGGTATCTCACCTGACCATCAAAAGCAAAGTCAATATGATAGAAAACAAATGCTTTTTGGTAGGAAAGAATGTTCTTGCTTACTTTACAAATGTTATCCCTGTGATATGGTTTTAATTAAAAAGAAAAAAAAGGAGTTGTAGGAATCTTAAATCATTACTTCAAAAGCCCAGTCAGAGCAGGAACCTCCTCTCTCTAGAAGCCGGAAAGGCTGTCATTTAGCCTGCTAGTTTCAACACTTCATCAGTTTTCAAGCTCATCTGGAGAAAAAGCTTCCTTTTCCACATTCAGCCAACACTGCCACCGTCCAACTTTTGTTCACTGAATTAAACTCCAAGACAAACAAAAGTACGTTTAAAAAGTGTGTCATCTATTTGAAGGCAGCTATTTTAGTCTCTTTAGTTTTTCACTTTCGATTTTTTTCGAACCTGGTTCCTTTAAATGCTCTCATAAAACATGCTTTCCAACCTCCTTACCATATGGTTGGTCTTGTTTTGTAATTACTCCAATACCTATCTTTATCAAAGTGTATTTGTCAACCCAGTACTGGGCACAGTATGCCAAATGTAGTCTGAGCAGCAGAGTATAAAGATAAATGACCTTAGTCATTCAACAAATATTTATTGTCAACCACATGCCAGCCATTGTACTTCCTCGGAAGCCACCAAAATACCAGATGTCTAAGTACTGTAACACAACAGGGAACAGAAAGAGATGACTATCCTGAGTCAGTGCTATTTTTTTAACTACTACAGGTTATTTTGCCTAGCAAACCTAGCAAGAGAGTAGAAGTGGAGGGAGAGCTAAAGAGCCAATGAGAAGAAAAATAATTTAAAAACTGACATAAAAAAAACTTTACTTGGATATTAAAACCAGAGAATGTGAACAGATCATATAAAATCTACTCACTGTTAAATCCTGGACTTCCTTCTCCAGTTTAACAGCTTTTAGCTTTAAGGCTCTTTCTGCAAGAGAGGGTCCAAGATCGTCAGGAGGATCCTCAGAACTGCAGTCCTCACCCGCAGTCCTCTGGGTGGCGGTGCTGAAAGGATGCAGACATCCCCTGAATTGGGAGGCAGGTAGCGCACAGTGAAGAACATCATAAACAGCCAAAGTTACAACAAAGTTCAGAGACCCACAAGTTTCCAGATCGAATAATATGAACAATTACAAAATGTTTACTAAGTACCAGAGACTATTTTCAAGATTTCACTTAAGTCATCTTTTCATTTCATAACAATGTGTGAGATAAGTACTATGATCATTACTCTTCTACAGATGAGAAAACTGAGGCTCAGAGAAGCTTTTGACTTGTCCAGGATCACATGGTTAGTATTCTATGGAGCCAGGATACTGAGCAAGACAGCAGAAATAGCCAGAAATGGGGACACAAAAAATAGCAAGAAGAAACCAAGTTCTGATACTCAGAACCAGTGGGGCATTTATCAGTAGGAGGAATTCAAAACACAAAGCCAGACAGCTCTGGTTCAGTCCTTCATTTTATAGCTGAAGAAAATAAAGCCCAGTAGAGGGACTTTGTCAAATGGAAGTCAGGCCTAGAATTCTAACCCTCTTGACTGAAAGCTGTAAGGCTTTTAGAGAAGAGAATCTGTGCTGAATGAGAAAAATTCTGACATGGTAACTCACCTATATGTAAAATCAAGTCAATTAAATATGCATAAAACACTATATGCTATGAACTGTGACTTATAAACAGGTAAATATAATCTACAATTTTATATAGCTAAAATGTTTGACAATGCGTTCAGTTTACATAGGAGGAAATTTGGAGTGGGGGCTAGGGTGCAGATCTGGGATTGTAGCAGTTTTGACTCCTTCAATGACGTATCCAATACACCTCCTGGATCCTCATAATTTGATGTTAAGTAAAATTATCAAGAAAGTCAATCTGTGAGTACAAAAGCTCTTTTAAAAAATTTTAAAAAACTTCATTCAAGGTATTTTTCTATTGATTTTTTTTTTTTTTTTAGACTGGGAGGAAGGGAGGGAGAAACATTGATGAGAGATACATGGATTGGTTGCTTCCCACATGACCCTGATGGGCGTGGGGATCAAACCTGAAATCCCTGAAACCAAGGTACGTGCTCCCGACAAGGGACTTGAACCCTCAACTCTTTGGTCCAAGGGCTGACGCTTTAACCACTGGGCCAAACCAGCCAGAGCACAAAAGCTCTTTAAAAATAGTTTATTTATATAAACTGTCATATACTGAAGAGTGCTCACTGAGGTGACATCTGAGCAACGGTTTGGAGGGTAAAGGAATTTGCTTCAAGAAAGGGAAGAGGGAACAGCCAGTACAAGGCACAGGCAAGACAACTTTTATTCCCAGCCTTTCCAGGCCAGTTCCGAATTCACTGGTGTCATATTATACATACGAAATACCTTCTCCCTCATAAACTCCTAACAAACCACATTTATTCAATGGAAAGTAGGTCAAAATATTCTAAGAGTCAGTTCAAAGGGAAAATGGCCAGAACCTTAGTCGTGAAAGAGAGGAGAGTTGTGGGCAATCCCTTCAGTTCCCACTGCTTCGGGGTCTTTGCCTTTTGACTAAGATCAAGTGCAATTCCTACGGCTTCAGAACGGGAGTGGGGGTACATTTTACCAGAAGGAGCCATTTTCTTCTGCTCACTTCCCTACATCACAAATTGCCACAAAGACTTTTTAAAAATTAATCGTGATTATTATAAAAAAACAAACAAACCCGAATTCAACCTCTCACCCAGGTGTTAGGGCGGGGGAGCCAGATCAGGTGTGTTAAGATAAAAAGGTGATAAATTGTTACACATTTATCATAACTATGCCCCCGCGGATTCATTTACATTTCAGAGGTCCAACCTCTTCCACCCTCCTACTCAGCCTTTTCATTCTTTCCGAGGAAGTAGTCACCAGGAAACTGTTCCTGAGAATAATAAATATAGTTTACTAACTAAGAGCGCCGATTCTGGAGCCTGGACTGGTTTCCCGAATATTACCCCAAGTAGTTACTCAACTTTTCCAAACCCCAGTTCCCTCAATTAAACGGGAACTAATAAAAAGAATTACCCATAGTTCTGCAATCGGCGTAAGTGATCAATAAAAACTACCGCAGCCCATAGAAAGAAAACCCAGCAACTGGAACTTCAGGCTCCGGAGGGCAGGTGAAAGGGACGTTTGGGGAGATACCAATGCCCACGCCCTCCTTTTCCCGACAGGTAAAGCGAAGCCCGGATAATGGGGAAGGGACTGGCCTAAAGTCACCCAGCAGCCAGGGGGGAGGATCCCAATGTACCTGCAGACACCACGGCTGGAGAGCAGGGGCCGGGAGAGGGACCTGTCCAATTCAATCTACGCTGGGGGCTGAAGAGATTTCCCCACCTCCGAGGACGTGACCTGGGATCTTTCCACCTTTTCCTCTTGGCAAGAAGCGCAGTTGGGGAGTCTCAATTTGCCCCTCTGTGAAATGGGGCCGTGAGCGCCTGATTCTCTGGCCCACAACTACCCCTCCGGCTCGCTCGCCCCGCATTGTCCTCACATTCCCAGCCGACTGCTTCGCTAGCTTACCTGCCTTCGGACCCGGCACTCGAGGCCAAGAGGTGCTGCACTCGCCGCCGGACCGCCCACAAGGACCGCGCGGCCATGTTCCCGACTTAGGCCGACAGAGGCAGCGCACGCGCACTAGCTCCAAGTGACGAGATAGGTTCACTCAAAAAACCACGCTTCCCGGCAGCCTTCGCGGGTGATTTTCTCTGAGGGAGGCCGGATGCGAACGCTCGTTTCCGGTGCGCAGTGCTGTTACCGACCCGGGGTGCAACACTTCCGGTCCTCAGTGTATTCTGCGCGTAGTATGTTTCTGTCCCAACGATGTAGGCTCGGTGCTAGCCGTGGAATCCGCGGTGAACTAAGGGGCTCCCAGTTGTGCTGTCCTGGAGCTTATGTGAAGTTATAAACAACAAACAAATGCAAACGCGATAGAAAGTCAAAATAGTACCGAGGTTTAAAGGTGAGGGCCAGAATGCTGCGGAAGCCTAGAATACAACATGGCCGAATGTGGGGTTTTCCCAAAGGAGATAATATTTGAACTACAAGCTGAAAACAGAGTAGGTGAAAGAGCAGGAAGGTAGTTCAGGTGGAGGTAAGCAGCTTCTGCAAGAAACCAGTGAAGAGGAAGAGTATTGAGAGTAAAGGACTGAAATTCTGGAGGAAGGGGAGGGACATTGGATATATGGCTAGACCTGGACAGATCACCTGAGGGACTTAAAAATAGGAGCCTGACATCCGTCCTTCCTCCATCGCTCTGCCCTGCTCCCCCCCTCCCCCATCCAGTTTTCTCATTTACTCCCACTAAAATGTGAGTTCTATTAGGATAGAGATTTTTTTCATCTGTGAACAGTACTCTGATGTGGTGTAAACATTTTTTGAATGAACTCGGTCTTATTCTGATTGCAACGGGAACATGTTACAAAGCCTTTATATATGTAAAGGAGTCATTTTTCTCTAGGGAGGAGCTTGCACATGTGAGGAAATAGGTAGGGAGACAAGCTGTTGGAACAAGTCCATGGGAGGGTCCTGGGGTCACCTCAGTAGGGACTTATCTAAAGTAGCTACTATTTTAGGTGTGTCAAGTACATTTTTGTTTCCCTATTAGTATTTTATTTGCCTTTTCTTTTTGCTTGTTTCCTCAACTCTAGTGTGAGCTTCATGTGTCTCTCTTGTTCATAGCTGTGATTTCTGACTTCTAGTGCAATAGGTGCTCAAGAAATACTTAATTGAGTGAATGAAGTTGGATGGAATGAATGGAGATAGGAAGAAGTGGATGCATTTTAGAGAGATTTAGTATGGAAAGCTGACAGGATGTTAGGATGGACTGGTGATTGGGGTTGAGGGGCATTTGGAATGGCCAGACGAATTACTGGATAGTCTCTAATGTAAAAATAAAAAGCTTTTTTTTTTTTAAGGATGGGAAGTGTGCCTTCATTATTCTGTGTGTATTCACCATAAGATGGTTTACTTGTATTATAGCTGTTTGGGTCAGATTTTCTCTCTGGTTGTTGGTTCCATGAGAACAGAACTGGAGTCTTTTGCATGTTTATATTCTATCCAAGGCCCAGCTCAGATGTGTTGAAGCCAACACCTTATGTTTCCTCTTGGCCTTAGAAGCTGAGCAACATGACTTAAGGAGGGATTATGATCCCCTTTTACATATAAGGAAATTGAGGTTCAGAGAGATTGGTGAACCTGCTCAATGCCTCCCTACTGAGGATCAGTGACACTAGAAATATGATAGTCCAAACATCTGGTAATGCAGGGAAGGATGGAGCTTCAAGTCCATCTCAGATCCAGCAGCCTATATGTTGAAAAACAACCAAACAAAGCATTTAGCAAACAAAAACTGGCATCTGTGCTTTAGCTATTTTCTTTACACTTCTCTCAGCTTTCCAACTTACACCAAATGTGCTGTATACATGCATCCATTCATTCATGTATTTACTACATGCTAGTTGCTTCTGAATGCTGCAGTGCAAGGGGAGGGGGAGAAATGGATGAAATAGAGCCTTGGAACTGAGAGGAAAGCCTCTAGGGTCAGACCTTGCATTCAAATGCTGGCTCCACTACTTTCTAACTGTAGGCTTTGGTTGGTTACTTAACCTCTCTGAGTTTCCATTTCCTGAACTGTGAAAACTGGGTACCAATCTCACAGGATTTTAGTGAAGACTAAAGGGATAATGCCTAGAAAAGTGATTAGTTAGAATGAGGTCTGCCTACATAATTTGAAGGGCAAAGAATATGTGGAACCCCCTTTTCTAAATGTATTAAGAGGGCAACAGCAGAGCAATCAACCAAGTACAGAGCCCTGCTAAGCCTGACTGTACAGGTTGCATGCCTGTGAAGCTGACTCTGGCTAACATAGTGCCTGGTGCATGGTGAGTATTCAATTAATGTTAATTATTAATTTCTTAGGGTCCCCCCTCTCAGAGTGGTGGAAAAAGGAAGCCTCAAAATAATTGCAGGGGAAACAGTGAAGACACAATTGGGTTGTCAGGTGACATTCCAGATACATATTTTTTAAAAGCATATTGATGATCCAGATTCCATGAGTGCCTTTGTCATTGAAGATATTCAGTGGAATGTGGATGAAAACTCAATTACATATTGGTTGTCTTGTAGCCTTTGGTGGTTGTAATTACCATGTAAAAGTCAATTCCTCAGTGGAAAAGACACAGGATTTTGAGTCAGACATTTCTTATCTAGTTAATAATAACTACTACTATTGACTGAGCATTTACATTTTTTCGAACACTGTGTAAGATGCTTCCCATGTATTATCTCATTGAATTCCTCCACAAGTCTTGGGAGGAAAGTACTATTGTTAACTTGTTTTGCTAGGTTAGGAAAACAAGAATGAGAGAGGTCAAGTGACTTTCCCAAAGTCACAGATGTTAAGTGGCTGGGGCAAGGCTCAAACCCAGTCTCCTGTCTGGATCCAGGCTTTATAAGCCCTAAGACTTATGCTTTGCCACTGACCAGCTGGGTGCCCTGGGTCAGGTTAGTTTTCTTGCTCTGGTCTCCAGCTACTTCGGAGGGTGGAAAGTTTGGATGAGGCCTCAAATATGTAAAGCCTTAGGCAGGGTCATGTGAAGCCTGTAGCAAACTGTCCAGAGGTTATTATGGGATTTCCCTTCTCTCCCCTTGAGCCAACCTCTGAGCTCCTACAGCTAAATGGTTTTCTCTTTGTTGGAAGGAAATGTAGTAAAGACTTACCAAGTGCCTGCAGTGTCGAGAAAGCAGTGAGTGGCACAGTAAGGAGACTGCCCAGGACTTGAGGTCCTTGCTTCTCTATAAAAGTATCAGGTGTTTGTAAAAGGCACTTGTGGCAGAAATGAGCCACTGTCCTCTTGGTTCTCCCTGATAGTTTTACATGACAGCAGATATAGGAGAGCAGACAGGTGGACATCTGAGTGCAAGATGATTATAAACACGTTAGGAGTGTCCCCTACATTTTAAATAACTCCAGGAGCGAGTGTCATATAAATAGGTAAAGGACTTGACTGACAACAAATGACCCCACCCTGAAAAGCTTGCAACATCTTGTGGACATTAGAAACCCATGCTTCTGTCACTGAGTATCACTCTGAGTTTAAAATATGCCAGCTACTGAACCTCTTCTTGCCTGCTGCTTACTCAGATCTCTGATTTGAAAACAACTCAAATCTGGGGTTCTGGTAGCTGCATCTGCCTAAAGCAGGTGAGAAATGATTGTGGAATTTTCATGTACTCTGTAGCTTTTGTTCACCTTTATGCAGGCAGGGATAGTTCTATTCATTTTCCAGTCTATTTATCTTGTCCAAAGGCTGTCAGTAATGCCCAACACAAATCCAAATGGCACCAGTGTGATTGGACGATCAAGTTACTTCTCTGTATTGCACCACTAATGCTTCAGCACTGCCTTCCTTTGCACAAAGGACTGGGAATGGGGTGCTGAGAATGGGATGGAATGGCTTATCCACATGTGCTTTTGCTTCTTCAGAAGGAAAGGCAAAGACATTTAACAAAACCTTTACAACTGCGCAGATGTCTGTCTCCCTCCACCCGCATTTCCCACCCTCTGTGAAGTTATATAGGGATGCCCTTCATTTCCCTCTTCAGTTCTACTTGTTCCCTCCTTATACCCCCTATAATCATGCAGACAACAAAGGCTGGTCTTTCGGGTGCCCCGGAGAGTGGGGGCTGTTTTCAGTCTTCTGGTATCTCCTTGTGAAAAAGCATTTCCGCCTTAGATGGACAATTGATATTCCTTTGGATAAAATTCTCATCCTCAATCTAGGTCTTCTTCATTTCCCATTCCTGAAGTACAGAAAGACAAGACAAATCAGTTTGTTGAATAGCCTAGTGTGACTTGTAGGATAAAAACATTTCACTGCACCTAATTATATAAAGATCTCCACTGGCCACATTAGAGAGGCATAGGTCCCAGTCCTACTCTCTTTCTTTGGCTGTGGTAAGTCATTTTTCTACACTGGATCTCATTTCAAAGGGGTGCTCAAATATCACAAAGTGTTTTCTCAAACAGGCCCAGAATGAAAAGGGAAGTGGGGACTGCATCTGGCTCCAGGACCTTAGGGTGGGGTAGGAGGCCGATGGAAGAGAAGCCAAAGCAGTTGGTAAGGAAGGACGAGGGTGGGCAGCACACAGGGCTCCATTCCTCTTCCCGGGGATGTCTAGGAGTTCATCTGAGAGGGATATTGAGGTCATGGCCAACAGTGAATGGCTGTTTGCCCACAAATGGTGCATAGGGTTTCTAGCCAGCCCTGGAGGTGATGATGTGAACCAGGGTAGAACGTGGTGGTTTGAAAATTCTTAGTGAGAGGATTCTCCAACCCCAACCTGCTCCTCCCCTGGTCTTTGCCACCTAACCACAGGTGCTCAGGTCAATGACCTAAGAGTCATCCTTGATTCCTTTTTTCCCTCACCCTCTTCATTTCTCATCAACAAATCCCTTGGCTCTACCTCCAAAGTCAGCCACTTCATATTACCTCTACTAAACCTTTCTCATCTCATCTATTTCTAACTGGTCTCTCTTATCCCCTCATCCATTCTCAACATAGTAGGGAGAATGGTCTTTTAAAAATGTAATTCACGCTCAGCCAGTGTGGTTTGGTGGTTGAGCGTTGACCCATGCACCAAGAGGTCACCAGTTGGATTTCTGATCAGGGCACATGCCCAGATTGTGGGCCAAATTCCCAGTGGGGGGCATGCAGGAGGCAGCCAATCGATGTTCTCTCTCATCAATGTTTCTGCCTCTCTCCCTCTCCCTTCCCCTCTCTCGAAAATCCAATAAAGAAAAAAATTTAAAAAAATTGTAATTCATATACAAAAATTCCTTGCTCAAAACTTGCCAATGACTTTCAATTATGTTAGAACAAAATCAAAGTTCTGCCCTGGCCGGTTTGGCTCAGCGGTTAGAGCGTCGGCCTGCGGTCTGGAGAGACCCGGGTTCGGTTCCCGCTAAGGGCACGTACCTCGGTTGCAGTTTGTCCCCGGCCCTGGTTGGTCGTGCGGGTGGCAGCCACTCGATGTGTCCCTTTCACATCGATGTTTCTCTCTCTGCGTTCCTCTCTCTCCCTCCCACTCTATCTGAACAAAAAATGGAAAAATGTCCTCAGGTGAGGATAAAAAAAAAAAAAAAAAAAAAAAAAAAAATCAAAGTTCTTCCAATGGCCTACGAGGATCAACGATCATGTTTGTACAAAAACATTTAGTGGCCCAGATTTGTATGTCCTATCAACTAAGAATGGTTTTCACATTTTTAAATGTTAGAAAAAATCCTTTTTTCATGATGTGATGATTATATGATATTCCAGTCTCAGTGTCCGTAAATAAGGTTTCTTTGGGATACAGCCATGTTTATCATTCACTTACACATTACCTACAGCTGCTTTCCTGCTGTAGCAGCAGTTAAGTGGCTGTGAAAGAGACCATGTAGCACACAAAGCCTCAGATATTCACTGTCTGTTCCTTTACAGAAAATGCTTGCTGATGTCTGGGCTAGGTGATCTCACCTCTGGCTGGTTACTTCTTTAATGCTCAGGTATTTTTTTTTTCATGTCCATACTTTCTTACCTGCAACTGAGAAATCCAAAAAGCTCTGAGACCAAAATTTTCTCAAGTGTTTTGGCACAAACTTGTATGGTGGCAAAACCTGACCTGAACTGATGTAAGGATGTTTATAGTCTGTTCATGTGTCTCACTATAGAATTATTAACATGTTTGCTTACAGGGTACCTCCTGAGAACTTACTGGGGTTTTTCATCTTATATAGTATATGTACCATATTACCTTTCTAAAATTAAAAAATTTCTAAACACAGCTGGCCCCAAGAATTTCAGAGACAGAACTGTGGCCCACTTTCATGGAGTGTGCCCTGGACTTGGAATTGGAAGAGGTGGGTTTGCAAGGCAGCTTGCATAATGGTGTCCTGCATAACCTGAGGTGAGTCCCTTTATTCCCTGATGTTCAGTTTTCTTACCTGTGAAATGGGCCTTTCTTGTCTTAAAAAAGTATAGGCTTAGAAACCAGAGCTTGTTAGAACTATGTGTTAAGAACGAGTTGAACAGGTTTTGAATGAGATTTGAGGGTCTTCTCCTCTGAGCAAAGTTCATGAACTATATCGCATTGATAACTGACAGTTCTTTGCCCTTCTCACTAGCTGAATTTTTTTGGTTCTTGGTGAGTTTACATAGAAAGTGGGCTGCCAGATCTCTGAATTTTGATCAGTTGAACTATTGCTGTACCTTGGCTTTTTGCAGCACCCTTCCTTGGTTGGAGGTTACGATGGATGGACTCCTCTTCCTCAGCTCAGAAACACAGTTGACAGGGAGAGGTTGCTCTGGGGCATCTTTCTGGGGTTTACTTGCAGTTTCCTGTTGATGACAAGATATAATTACATAGGTGAAGTTTACTCTTGGTTACCTACACCCAGCTTCCCCTCCAAAGAATGCAAATAGAAGGTACTATGCAAATTTACCAGCATCAAACAGGGTGAGAGAGGAAGACACTGGAGGGCCTTGGACTAAAGCTAATGACAGCTAAGATTACTGAACCCTCACTATGTACTAGGCATAATGAGGATTAGCTTATTTAGCCTTTTCAAGCCTATAAAGTAGGTACCATTAGTCATCTATTTTAGAGATAAGGAAAAATGGGAAGGTCAAGTCAGTGCTCAAGGTCACATGGCTGGTGAGTGGGAGAGCTGGGGTTTCTACCCCACTGTCCTTTCTATCTCTTACCCTCTCTCCGGTATTCCTTCTCATTTTCCACACTGCCCTCACCCCTGAAAAGGTCCAGATGATTGCTTAGTACTTATTGGATGTAATTCCTTAAGTGGGACATGTTAACAGCTTAAGCTGCAGGGAATTTTTCTTTATCTCCAAAGACCATGGAAAGGGTCAAAAGTAGAGGGGCAAGTCTTCTAGAATGTGAACATCAGGGCATACTGGTGGTGGGAAAAAGCAACTGGGATTAATGAACCACCTCTAGTTTGTCCACCAGCCCTCTGTGACTCTGTGAAGTTCTTTGGTCCCTGGCCCTTAAGCTCTTTATTTTTAAACGAGGTTAGAAATGCCCCAAGGAGAGGAAGTGTAGGGTGGAAGGAACAGCTCTAACTTCCCAGTCATGGGGTATGGTCTGACCAGGCAGCTGTGACCTTGGACAACAATAAGATTCAAGTTCCCAATGACAACTCACACTTATCAGACAAATTACTTCATTTTTCTGAGTCTTAATTTTCTTGTCTGAAAGCAAGTATAACATTTATTCATTTGACAAACATTTATTGCACTCCCACTATTTTTCAAACTATGCAAAGGGCTAGGGTTATAATGATAAAAAATTATAGTCCAATTCTTTTGTTTAAAAAAATTGTTTTTCTTTATTGATTTAAAATTTTTTTTTCTTTATTGATTTTTAGAGAGAGAGGAAGTGAGAAGGAGAGAGAGATAGAAACATCAATGAGAGAGAACATTGATTGGCCACCTCCTGCATTCCCCCTACTGGGGATTGGACTCACAACCTGGGCATGTGCCCTGACCAGGAATTGAACTGGTGACCTCCTAGTGCATGGGTTGATACTCAACCACTGGGCCACACCAGCTGGGCTATAGTCCAATTCTTTTTTTTTAATCCTCACCCAAGTACATTTTTGTATTTATGTTCAGATAGAGTAGGAGGGAAAAGAGGGAGTAAGAGAGAGAGAGAGAGAGAAACATTGACCCAAGAGAGACACATCGACTGGTCGCCACCCACACAACCCCAACCAGGGACAGGGACAAACTGCAACCAAGGTACATGCCCTTAGCGGCAACCGAACCCGGGACTCTGGTCCGTGGGCCGATGCTCTAACCGCTGAGCCAAACCGGCCAGGGCTATAGTCCAATTCTTAACAAAATACCATCTAATTGAAGGGGTAGACATTAGACAAGTAAGGATAGAAATATATATGTGTGTGTGTAATATGTATTACACACACACATACACACACACAATTGTGGTTAACTGCTATAAGGAAGAATAATAGATGGGATGGGACTGTTGGTAATTTAGATCAATGGTTCCCAAATGGGGGGCAATTTTGTCACTGTTGGCAATTTTTAGAGACATTTTTGGGTGTCAAAACTGGGGGCATGGAGCTACTGGCATCTAGTGGGTAGAAGCCAGGGATGCTGCTACATATCCTATAGTACACACTACGGTCCCCTATAGAAAGTAATTATCATTCCTAAATGTTAATAATGCTGTGGTTTGAGATACTCTGATATAAAAGTAGGTCAGTGAAATTCTTCCTGAGGAAGTCTCATTCACAGTGAGAGTATCTACCTTGCAGGATTTCTGGGACAGTTAGAGACGATGGATGCCAAGCCCCGGGGCAGGGCCTGGTGCACTGGAGATCCTAGGAGAGGGCATGTGCAAGGTGGCTCACCCAGGGCTCTGGAGTCAGACTTCCTGGGCTTGGGATCCTGTCTCCCACTTTAGCTGAGTGACCTTGAACAAGTCATTCAAATGTACAAAGCCATTTGAACCTCAGTTTCCTTGTCTGTCAAATGGGGTGAATACACATAGTACTACCTCATAGGACTGCTGTGAAGACTGAGATAATACAAGTTAAGATGCTATACTGGCCTGTGGTAACTGATCAACACGTTTGTTATTCTTATTCAACACATGGTACTTATTATTATCAGTAACCTTAAGGCTACTTCTAAGACTGCGTTCAGGATGCAAAGTCAAATGGTGGTGTGTCAGTGGAGAAAACAGGCCAGAGAATTTGCTGCAAGAGTCCCCTTCCTAAGTGTGCCACCAATGGCATGTCCCTTAGGGCCTGTTTTGCCACCTGTAAATGAGCATAACTCCGAAAAATGATTACGATCTGTAGCACGTGAGGGCATTAAGGACCAGCGGCCCCTGGTGCAGCAGGGAGTGGACTCACTGCACTCTTGTTCTTGCTGCTCATGGAGAGTCCCAGGGCCGGGCCTCCCGCCAGAGACTGCTGTAAGCGCTCCTTCACGGCCACCAGCTTCAGTTCCAGGTCAATCCGGTGCTCTTCCTTTGCCCGACACTGAGCTTCCAGGGTGGCCATCGCCTCCTCCAGAACCTTTAACTTTGCTCCTATGGCCAAAGACATTGGTGAGAAACAGCTGAGCCTGGCCTGAAGCATCAAGCAGTTTGGCAGGGCCTCAGGCCCTCGTCTGCCCCTCCCGGAGGGCCATTCCTATCCTCAGTCCTGGTTAAGAGATGGACTTTTGGGCCTGGGATTCCAGCTCCATGCTTGGTAGTTTGGTTTTTACCTTCCCAATACCATTTCCCCAAGTTTTGGATACAGAACTCCGATTTTCTACTGGGAAACTACCTTTCTTCTCTCATTCTTTATAGTTTAGATGGCGGTAACCTCACTCCTAGTTCAAGGTGTTGGCACATAACTTAGTCCTAGTTCATAATCATGTCTCGCTCACTGGTCACAGTGATTGGTCTCAGGATCGAAGTTGGTCAGAGCAAATCCTGAAGTGTCTGTGGGAGCCATTGGGAAGAGAAGTTCTCCCTGCTGTGGTGGTTGAGATGATTAGGGGAAGGCTGGAGCTGCACAACCATTTTGTCACCATGAGGGGCAGAGAATGAAACCAATGTAGAGGAAGGCCAAAGCAGTTAGAGAAATATGCTTCTTGGTGACATCACTTAAGTCCCTGGACCTCGCTGTACCTGATTGTTCAATTTTTCAATTGCATTTTTCTTCTTTTCATTACTAAGCCAGTTTAACTTTGGTTTCTGTTACTTGTAACCAGGAGTCAAAACACAGGGCCTTACAGTGACCAGGGGTTCCTACTAGGATTTTGTTGCTTATTTGGTTCAACCCAGCAAATCTATATTAGAACCTTCTTTGTGCCAAGAGCTATGTTGGGCCTTACTAGGTTTAAACATTAGTTCCATCATTTGCCCTGAGGAAGGCTGCCCTGGAGGGTTTTCTAGTAATGGTGGGTTCTCTTCGTTCATGCAGTAAGTACTTATTGCATGCTTGCTATGTACCAGGAACTGTGCATCATTCCCAGCACTTGGACCAATGTCTCACACTACTGAAAGTGTGCTGAACTGCAGCTACAGAGAGAGTTAAAAGGAAACTGCAGAAAATGGGATTCAGAGGAGCCCAGAGCCAGTAGGGCTGATGGAGGTCAAGATCCTGGATTTCAGAAGATGATCTTGGGGACCTGGAAAGTATTATCCTAAGCGAAACAAGCCAAGCAGAGAAAGACAAATATCACATGATCTCACTTATTTGTGGAATATAACGAACATAACAGTCTGAGGAATGGGGTAGTCCCAGAGACGTAGAAGTGGGGTACAGACTGACAATCCCCTGAAGAGGGGGTGGGGGAGAGAGAGAAACCACAGAACTTATATGCGTGTATGTATGAACAATGGACATGGACAAAAAAGCTGGGGACAGGGCGGGGAGGGAGGAAAAGGGGGGAATCAGTGGGTGAAAAGGGAAACATCTGTAACAAAAATAAATTAATTAATTTAAAAAAAAAGAAGATGATCCTGGCAAAGTGTCACTGTCCATAATTCCTATCACATGGACCAATGCTTACAGTCAGGTGCTCAGCACGTATCTGTGAATGAATGAGTTAATGTGAGGTTCAAAATAATCTTTTATTTCTTTGACTCTAAAGTACACTGTTTTTCACATTTTAACATTTCTAAAATCAGGTTGCATCTTACCACGTCAAGTGTACACATTTTTGTGGTGCCTTTTCATCCCTTTTCCCCCAAAGCAGTTATTGAATAGATGGTGCTTCCTTTAGTCAGAAGGGATGATGATGATGATAATGGTGGTGGTGGTGATGAGGGGGAGGATGAGGAAGGGAAGGAGAAGCTTGCCTGTCCTGGGTAAGAAACCAGGTGATCTGTGCTAGGGGAAGTGTCAAGGCTGAGCCCCCCAAGAGTGCTCAGGACCACACCCACGAAGGTACCTGGGTTGTTCCGAATGGCATCCTTTAGCTCCCTCTTTTCCTGCCGCAGTGCCATCAGCTCTGTCCGGATTGTCTCTTTCTCTTTCTCCAGCTTCTCTTTTTCTATCAGGTACCTCCGGGCATCCTCCTCAGCTCGGTTCTTACCGTACTTGTATTGATTGGCACCTGCGGAAACATGAGGAAGGAAAAGGCCCTCAGTTCTGACCTCTGATGAGGGTTTTTGGGTGGTGTTAGCTTCTCTCTCAGCCTCAACTTCTCCATCTATAAAATGGGAACATTTAGATCTATACCCCTATATATATTTAGTGTGGCTGCTCTAAGGAAATAAGGAGCCAAAGGGAGGCAGTAGAGAGCAGGGATGAGGACAGGGCTCTGGAACCAGACAGACAAAGGTTTGAGTTATCTTTTGCCCTTTACTGGTCATGTGACATCAGGCAAAAGTGAATAATGATGTTTTTGTGCCTTCCTCCTCAGCCCTAGTATCCTCATTTGTAAATGAAGATATTGATTATATTTATCTCTAAGCATTGTGATGGGTTTTACATGAGATAAAAGTACTTAGTGTAATACCTGGCAAATAGTAAGTGCTTAGTAAAGGTTAGATGATAATAATGTAAAACAAATTTTGTGATGTATAACACTTTGGTTTTAAAAGGGCATATAAAAAAATTTTTTTTCTTTATTGATTTTAGAGAGAGAGGAAGTGTGAGGGAGAGAGAGAGACATCGATGAGAGAGAACATCGCTTGGCTGCCTCCTGCGTGCCCCCCACTGGGGATTGGGCCCACAACCTGGGCATGTGTCCTGACTGGGAATTGAACTGGCGACCTCTTGGTTCATGGGTCGACGCTCAACCGCTGAGCCACACCAGCTAGACTAAAAGTGCGTATTTTATAGTCAACTCTCAGGTATGCATAAAACAAGGAGACAGGCAGATATAACTCAGATCTGTAGAGAAATGAGACCTTGGGCTAAAGTCAGGCATTGCCCATTTTAATAAATGGGTGGAGGCAGAGAGGGATCTCGTGGTCTACTATGGACTCATTGATTATAGACAAAACAACAAATGTAGCAAAAATCTACTGAGTGCTAACTATGTAATTTTCATAAAAACTTAATATTATTAGATCTATTTTACTGTTGAGGAAACAGGCACAGAGAGGTTAGATCTTACTGCTAATGATGACAGAGCCTAGGTTTGAACCCATGTCCACCTAACTCCAGGATCCATGCCATGCAATACTGATCTAGCTGTTGCTACAGACAGCCTTTATAAGTTGGTGGGGTGTGGAGGGATTCCCATGATTTACTGATAATTGTGTGGGTCTTGTCTCTCCAGGTCTTGCAGAGGTTACCCAGTGACCCACACCTCCTCCAACTTCCCAGATATATGATGGCATATCAGGGGAGCTGACTCCCAGATTTTTGAATTTTATAGATGGGTAAAATGAAAACAAAAAGGCTAGACCAACTAAGGGTTGTCAACATATCAGATAAGGCCCTTAAAAACCCCAACTACCATCTAATTATTCCCAGTATTTTACAAAATAAATAATATCTTAACATCCCCAGAGTTGGAAGGACACAGATGCAGAATAAAGTAGTCATTTACATTGAGTAGATTTAGCTTTATGGAAACCTTCATGCACTGTACTTATTTTTGTCATTTCATTGCAGATGAGTGAAAACTTCCTTAGGGACGGAACCAGCGAGTAGGCTCACTTTTGGGAGCCAGTGCCCTGGTTCACTTCCTTAATATGTTAGCAGCTTATCTCACACCTCACCCTGTCACACTTGAGTCACTCAAATGGTGGTGAAGAAACAAACTAAATTGTTGTAAGGAGCTATAATTCTGTGGGCCTCATAGTATTAGTGATAAAGCATTTGCTTCAGATCTGTCCAAGTACCAGCCAGAAAAATCTGGGCTTCCACAGTGGAGGGGAAAACAGGATGTTTAGCATCCAAGTTACTAATATAACTAATGCACTAATGTAGTGTATGTATCAGTACTTCACTGATTGCTGAATAATGTTCCAGGTGACCCTAAGAGGAAGCCTCTGTTGTTTCTGATAAGTCAGCCGTTAATTTGATTAGAGATCCTTTGTAAGTGACAAATCAGTTTTCTCTTTTGCTTTCAAGGTTTTCTCCTTTTGGCATTAGCATTTTGACCATGATGTGTCTTTTGTGGATCTCTTTGCTTTTATTTTACTTGAACTTCAATGGTATCCTAGATATGTCAATAATGTTTTCAATAAATCTGGCAAGTTTTCAGCCATTATATTTTTTGATAACTATTTTTTACACCTCTTTCTCTCCTTTCTTGTAGTTCCTTATGCACTAATGGTGTCCCACAGTTCTCTGAGGCTCTGTTCATTTTTCCTCATTATATTCCTCATTATAGGGGTCATACTTTCATGTTTCTTTGTATGTTTCATATTTCGTGTTGGAAAATTAGACATTTTAGATCATATATTGTAGCATCTCTGGATACTGACCTCCCCGCCCCAGGCTGTTTTGTCAGTGACTTAGCTGGCTTGTTCAGTGAAGTCCATTCCCTCTGCAGTGTGAAGCCTCCGAGTCCCTGGGCGTGTGTCAGTCACCCTGTGAGGACAGTGGTCTTGACAGGCCTCTGCGTCTCTTCCTCATCTCTCTGTTAAGCTCTGCCTCTGCTGGAGTCACACGGAGCGGTCAGGTCCCTCTAACTGTCAGTGAATCGCTCTGCTGTTTTTGTCAGTTCCCTGGGGTATCAACTGCTCCATGGTCTGATCTAGTTAAATTCAGCCCCTTGGCAGGGTAGTTTCTGAGGCCAGTGTTTTGAGGTCAGTCTTGTTTTGACCCCAGGAAGGCTCTTAGCTTTCTCTTTCCCCGGTTCTCTCTGATGAACTAGCCGACCCGTGGTTCAGTTTATTGTCCTCATGGAGCTGCTCTCACTGTTCTCACTGAAATTCAGTGAGTTTTCTAGCATAAACCTTTCTTCATTTGCTATATACCATGGAAGCTTTCCAGAGACTTTAGCTGTTTGCTTAGTAATTTTCACCAGTTAGGGTAGTTTTGCCAGAGAGTGGGTCTGTGTCTGTGGAGATCTCACACCGCTGCCGTTTTTCTCAGCCATCCACTTGGCCCCCATGATTGTTGCTTTCTGGTATTCATGTCCTTTTGTAGTCTCTTCCCACACTGAAGAGGCCTGACCTGTGTAATCATTAAGATATGGCAGAAATGACAGAGTGTGGCTTCTGAAGTTAGATTGTAGAAGCAGTGCAGCTTCTTCTGTTACCCCCGCCTGGGTCACTGCTCTGGGGGAAGCCAGCTGTCTCATCATGAGGACAAAGCAGCCCAATGGAGCAGTCCACGGCAAGGAACTGGGGCCTCCTTCCAACAACCAGCACACACTCGCCAGGCATGCGAGGGAGCTACCATGGGAGCAGATCCTCCAGCACGTCAAGCCTTCAGCCGACTTCAGAGGACTGGCTAACATCTTGACTGCAACCTCACTAGAGACCCCAAGCCAGGACTACCTGAGTGCTCCAGGAGTCCTGGCCCACAGAAACTGTGACATAATACACGCTCATTTTTTGATCTATTAAATTTTGGGCAATTTGTTAAGTAGAAACAGTAATTTATGAATACATGATCTTGGGAAAGACCCATTTCTTTTATGTTCTTCAGTTTCTTCATCTGGAAAATGTGGCTGGGCTGATCTGTGGTTGCCAGCTGCACGAAGGAGCCCTGGTTTCATAGGGATGGCCAACGGGCTGCTTACTATGGGGCAAAGTGGAGGTCAGGTGGCCTCCCGACGCCAACCAGAGCAGCTCCACTTTGATATCTCTTGTCACTGGGTTTCAAAATGAGATCTGATTTGAAGAAAGAGTCTGTCTTTTGTTGTTGTTTTTTAAAGACGCATTTTGTGATTTCTTTAATCTTACATGCTTATTTCAGTTTAGTTTTCCATTTTGAGATGGGCATGCCATATTTCCAGTGCCCTTGAGAGTAGCGTGGAAGGAATGGTACACAATAACTCTCTAATTGTTCAGAGGGAAAACTCAGGCCCAGAGAGGGGAAGGGACTTTTCCAAAGATACATAGTAATTTAGTGATCAAGTGAGGAATGGAACACAGGTCTCTGACCCCAGAAGGGATTATCTATGCTAATGAAATGGAGCTCTAATGACGAAAGGTATTTTAAAAAATAAATCTTCCAAAATAGAATTTCACTTTGTTCTGGTGTGGAGAAGAAATGTAAAGCAACAAATAAAAGACTCTTGGCGCATGCTGTCCTACAGGAAGCTGGCTTGCTCATAAAGATAAATCACATAAGAGCAGAGTAGAATCAAACAAGTCACCGTAGAATTATCTGACATACTTAGTCATTATTTGGCAGTACGGCAGTCAGGCAATTAACTGAGCCCCGATGGGGTGCTAGGCAGAGCTCTGGCTGGGACACAGAGGTGAGCCATACCTTTGGTGGCAGCTGCCTCAAGGGTATTTGGAGGAGTTCAGTTCTCCACTTATTACCCCAGATCAGAAATAATAATGATTAGCCTTTGTAACAGACACAGTTGAGGATGAACTTATGTAAATATGCATGTATATTTGGCTTTATTTGATGTTAAAATTTAAAAAATTAGTTGCTAATAGTAAAAAATAAGTAGGTTTCATATAAGGTCTAGATTTCTGGTCTCTCTTGAGTAACTGGCACTGCTGTGTGGCGGCATCGGCTGGAGCTGAGCAGTGGCCACTCTTGAGCACTGGGTTTCCTACAGTGCCCCCCCCCCCCACACACACACTCCATGCTGTTTCTCCTCTGAGCCCCGTGCCAGCTGCCCTTAACCACTGTGCTTGTGGTGGTGTTTTTCTTACGGTACAGTATTTCCTCACACTTCACTCATTTATTCACCTGCCTGATCCCTGGAGGAACATGATTTTGGGACTCCCTCTACTCACGGCTGTTTCCCTCCCTCTTTCCTCCCACAGAGAACTCACTGGAGGCGTGGCGCTTGACTTTGACCTGCGGATCCACTCGGTGGGACTTCTCACAGCAGGAGGAGGCGTGGCGCTTCACCTGGGCCCCAGCTGGACGGTCTGGCTCCTCGTCCTGGGCGGGAGATGGAGGGAGAAGGTGAAGTGCAGGTAGCTCAGAGTCGTCAGCGCAGGGGTGTATTCTGGTCCGCGCTCGGCGGGTGAGTACGGCTGGACCTCCGAGATCGTGGCCTTACATTTTTAAACTTGTGCAATACTCAGCAGTTTATAAACCACTCTCACTAGCAGTATACCATTGGGTCCCATGCCCTCCTGGGGGAGGGGGGCGGACAGCAGGACATGACCCTAAACTGGAATATCTACCGAGAGGAGAATTAAGAATTCTGGAAAGATTGTGGTGTCCATATTTGATTTATCATAGATATTTTGTCCTCACCTCATTCTGAAATATCCTTAAGTTTTCTGAATTGTTTAAAAGAAAAGTCATAAATGAGATCAGCCAATGGTAGAAGTTACATAACTAGACTGACTATACATTTGTGCATGAGGAGTATTAATAACACTCAAAATTCTGTCAAAGCTCAGGAACCATGAGTGGAATGTGATGACAATGCAATATAATAATGATATTAGTAATAGCAGTACGATTTATTTTTCTGTGTGAGACCTTCCTGTCCAGACCCTAAGTTCTTTCCTTAAAATATTTCAATTAGTTCTTGCAATAGTCCAATCAAGTAGGTTTTATTATATCTGTTTGAAGCCTGGAAGTGAAGAGCAGAGAAGCGAAGCCCAAGGTAACTTTGAGTCGAAAGTTTGCTCTGTTAAGTTCTAAACTGTCTTGCTGCTAATCTGCAAATGAGAAAGATTATAGGCTGCAGCATCCACTGGTTCAGCTGTGTCTGAGGAAAGACCATGTAAGGGGAGTCCTAGAGGTGTGAGCTTGGAGTATCATCCAGCACTGCCCACGCAGGGGTCTTAACCCGCCTGCTTTCCTTGGTTCCCGCCTCCCCCCTCGCTGTGAGGTGTGACCCACCCACCAGCTCTGATCAGAGTGTAGTTTCCTGGCTCTCCTGTGGGAGAAGGCATAGAAGGAGTCGTCTGAGTGTGTGATGGCCACGGAGGCCTCACTGTAATGAATGAGCTGACATCTCCTTGGTTTAGTGAGCAAGACAGGGAGACCGTCCTGGGAGCTGAAGCCCAGACTGTGGATGCCACAGTGATCACCTCCACCTCCGGATACCACTGAATCAGCAGCCTTCATTCACAGAGTGTTAAACGGGTGGAGAGCCCAATGCCTCCCTCCAACTGGAATAGCTTTCCAGTGTCCAGAGCCCTTCCTCGTCTTGATCTGAGAGCTTTTCTCCTGTGCCACTCAGCCTCTGTTCCAGGGATTCCTCATCCTGAGCCATGCTCTGTGAGAAGCAGGGTCGTCCCTCCCCTTCCAGCTGCTGGCTAAATGAAAACAGTCTCTCTGAGGCAAAGGCAAAAAGGAGTACAGTCACATGCTGCATAATGTTTCTGTCAGGGCATGTACGACAGTGGTCCCCAAGATTGTAATGGAGCTGAAAAGTGCCTACAGCCCAGGGACATCACAGCCATCTTAACACTGCCGTGCATTGCTCGCAGGTTGGGGTGGTGCTGGTGTGAACAAACCCACCGCGCTGCCGGTCTCAGAGAAGTACAGCACAGACAGGTATGTACAGTGCACAGTATCTCATAACACAAATGACTGTGTTACTGGTTTACGTATTCACTGTACTTCTGAGTGTTATTTTAGGGCATACTCTTTCTACTTACAAGGAAGTGTGCTGTAAGACAGTATGCCATGCTATCCCTGCAGCAGCCGCACAAGCTAGTCTTTGCTGTCTCTTGATTGCATCATTTTCTCTTGTGCTTCATTTAATTTCATGTTGTTTTGGACAGTAACATGCTGTACAAGCATGTAGCCCAGGAACAGTAGGCTCTACTGTAACCTAGGTGTGTTGTAGCTACACCATCTAGGTTTGTGATGTTCGTGCAAGGTTGAAATCGCCTAACGATGCATTTCTCAGAATGTATCCTTGACATTAAGCAGCGCATGACTGTAGCGAGGGAACGAGAGAGGGAGGGCTCAGAAGTGGTCTTTGCCATGTTCCTGGGCAGCCCCAAGGGATCGTACCTGCATCTTTTCATAAGGGACGTCATCATAGACACGGGGCTCAGGCCATTGATCCTGGCAGGATCTTGCATATCTAGAAAATACAAGGTATGATGATGATGACACTTGGCAGCTTACAGTGCTTCCCTGTCCACTCTCATTTGACTCTGGCAGGAGCTCATAATGGATATTGGAAGGTTAGTAACAGCAACCATTCCAGGGAGCACTGGGCTGTTGCTGTGTTAAGGACTTTATAGGCGGGACCCGTGTGATTCTCACAACAACCTAGGAAACCTAGATAATGCAGCACCTCTACTATATAAGTGAGAAAACAGAGGTTCCAAGCCAGCAAGCCACCAGCCAGGCTGCTGACTGTGACAGAGCTGTGACTCGAGCCTAGCTCTTCTGGTGCTGAAATCCACAGACCAGCCCCGTGCCTGCCCTCCTGGATGCTCAGGGTGTGAGAACCTAAGCTTCCATGGCATGAGAGCAGAGCCCGTGTCACGATAAAAAAGGGCTTCTCCTCTTACTCATCCCATCCACAGCTTCTCCCGACCCTGCGCTGCCTGCTTTAGCCAGCTCACTGCCTGCTGGCAGAGGAACGCACTCACTCTGACTTCCCAAGGGAGCAGAGTCCTCCTCAGCCTTCCCTCCCAGTGCCCAAGGCTGGACTCAGAGCCTCTGAGAGGGAGCCGAGACAGGAGAGGCCCCGGGCAGCTGTGGGCTGCGGGTGCTGACTTACAGGAAGGAGTTGCGGCCCGCACTGACGATGCTGGTTAAGGTCTCCACGTCCACGTAGTCATAGTGCAGCGCCTCGGGGGTGACCCTGGAGCCCATCTCCACCAGCAGCAGCCCCAGCCAGCGGCCCATGTCCTCGGAGCAGCTTGCCTGAGGGAGAGGAGGCATAGCTGTTCACCTCCCAAAGCCATATTTATACAGTACCTCAATACTTAGGGACCCTGGAGGAACAGGGTTAGAACACACGTCCAGGAATCCAAGTGGCTCCCGCCTTCCCTCTCTTCAGGCCTCTGCTCACTATCCTCAGCACCTCCCTGATCATTTAGATGTGAAAACAACATTTGGGTGTTCCCTGAATAGTCTTTAAAAATATTTACTTTTTATTAGTGGAGGCTATTTCTCATCTAACCCAGTCACATTACTTTTTGTATTGCAATTGCCAATTTGCAGGAAGATCTCCAAGAAATTGCTGGTCAACTTAAACGCGTATTATGTTAGTTCTCATTTAAAGAGCATTATTATAAAATCAACTTAGCTCACAACTTGAATAAAGTACACTTTTGGCCAGTGAGCTCTGTGTATAACTTAAGAGAAATAAGAGAGCCATTTCAAACTATCAAAAATAAAAGTGAGTTATTGAGGTCATCTTTCTTTCTTTTCTTTTTTTTTATGTAAAACATTAACTCATTTATTTAAAAATTTTTATTAAGCATCCACCATGTATTAGACACTGCCTTGGGCACTGGGGACACAAAATTAATAACCCAGTTCTTGTCTTCCAAAATGTCAGTGTGAAGTAATATGTCACTTATAATTCAAGATAGCCAGTGCCATTGCTGAGAGGTACAGTTGCTCCAGGGGCTCAGGTAGGGTTTTATCACGCTGATCTGTACTTCTTTCTCTGCAGAAACCCTTCTCTGAGTACACAGTGAACTTCTTGAGGTCAGAGTCTGTGGCTTATTCACTTCTCTACCCCCAGGACCCAACACAGTGCCTGGAATAAGGCAGGTGTCCCATAAGCACTCATTGAGTTGAGTTAAATTAATTTATTTTTAAATTTAATTTATTTTTATTTTTTATTAATTTATTTTTGTTACAGATGTTTCTCCTTTTTTTCCCCATTGACACCCTCCTCCCTATCCCTCCCACCCCATACCTGACTTTGTTGTCCGTGTCCATCGGTTATGCATACATGCATATAAGTTCTGTGGTTTATCTCTTCCCTCCTCCACCACCCCCCTTCTGAGGGTTGTCAGTTTGTACCCTACTTCCACGTCTCTGGGTCTACCCAATTCCTCAGACTGTTATGTTCATTTTTTTTTTTTAATCCTCATCTGAGGACATCTTTCCATTTTTTGTACAGAGTGGGAGGGAGAGAGAGGAAGAGAGAGAGAGGGAAACATCGATGTGAAAGGGACACATCGAGTGGCTGCCACCCGCACGACCCAGGGCCGGGGACAAACTGCAACCGAGGTACGCGCCCTTAGCGGGAACCAAACCCAGGTCTCTCCGGACCGCAGGCGGACGCTCTAACCACTGAGCCAAACCGGCCAGGGCTGTTATGTTCATTATATTCCACAAATAAGAGAGATAATGTGATATTTGTCTTTCTCTGCTTGGCTTGTTTTGCTGAGGATAATACTTTCCAGTTCCCTCCATGTCATCTCAAAGGATAAGAGATCTTTCTTTCTTATAGCTGCATAGTACTCCATTGTGTATATGTACCACTGCTTTTTTATCCATTCGTCTACTGATGGACACTTGGGCTGTTTCCAGATCTTAGCTATTGTAAATAGTGCTGCTATAAAAATGGGGGTACATATATTCTTTCTGATTGGTGTTTCAGGCTTCTTAGGATGTATTCCTAGAAGTGGGGTCACTGGATCAAATGGCAATTCAATTTTTAATTTTTTTTTTTCTTTTATCCTCACCCGAGGACATTTTTTGTTCAGGTAGAGTGGGAGGGAGAGAGAGGAAGAGAGAGAGAGAGAAACATCGATGCGAAAGGGACACATCGAGTGGCTGCCACCCGCACGACCGACCAGGGCCAGGGAAAAACTGCAACCAAGGTACATGCCCTTAGTGGGAACCGAACCTGGGTCTCTCGGGACCGCAGGCTGATGCTCTAACCGCTGAGCCAAACCGGCCAGGGCCAATTTTTAATTTTTTGAGGTAATATCATAGTGTTTTCCATAGTGGCTGCACCAGTCTGCATTCCCACCAGCAGTGTACTAGAGTCCCCTTTTCTCCACACCCTCACCACCATTTGTTTGATGATTTGTTGATTTCGGCCATCCTGACAGGTGTGAGGTCATACCTCATTGTTGTTTTAGTTTGCATCTCTCTGATGATTAGTGATGTTGAGCATTTTTTCATATGTCTCTTGGCCATTTGTATGTCCTGTTTGGAGAGGTGTCGATTTAGCTCCTCTGCCTATTTTTTAACTGGGTTCTTTGTCTTCCTTTTGTTGAGTTGTATGAGCACTCTCTATATATTGGAAATTAACCCCTTATCTGATATATCATTGGCAAAGATGCTCTCCCATAGAGTGGGTTGCCTTTCCATTTTGATGATTATATCTTTTGCTGTGCAGAAGCTTTTTAGTTTGATGTAGTCCCATGTGTTCAGTTTTTCCTTTGTTTCTGTTCCCTTAGATGATGTATCAGTGAAAATTCTGCTGCGTATGATGTCTGAAATTTTGTTGCCTACATTTTCTTCTAGGATTTTTATGGATTCATAGGTCACATTTAAGTTTTTATCCATTTTGAGTTTATTCTTGTGTATGGTGTAAGTTGATGGTCTAGTTTCATTTTTTTGCATGTAACTGTCCAATTTTCCCAACACCATTTATTAAAGAGGCTGTCTTTACTCCACTGTATGCTCTTGCCACCGTTGTCAAATATTAATTGAGCATGATGTCTTGGGTCCATTTCTGGGCTCTCTGTTCTGTTCCACTGGTCTATATGCCTGTTCTTGTGCCGGTACCAAGCTGTTTTGATTACAGTCTCTTTGTAGTATAACCTGATATGTCCTTCTTTTTCAAGATTGCTGTGGCTATTTGGGGTCTTTTTTGGTTCCATATGAACTTTTGAAGTATTTGTTCTAGTTCTGTGAAATATGTTGTTGGTATTTTGATGGGGATTGCATTGGATCTAGAGATTGCTTTGGGTAATATGGACATTTTAATGATGTTAATTCTTCCAATCCATGAACAAGGTATGTGCTTCCACTTTTTAATATCTTCCTATATTTCTTTTTTCAATGTCCTGTAGTTTTCTGCAAATAGGTCCTTTACTTCTTTGGTTAAGTTTATTTCTAGGTATCTTAATTTTTTTGCTGCAATGGTAAATGGGATTTTTTTTTTAGTTTCTCTTTCTGTGACTGGTGTATAAGAATGCCGTTGCTTTCTTGATGTTAATTTTCTATCCTGCTACTTTGCCAAATTCATTTATTAAGTCTAGTAGATTTTTGATGGAGTCTTTAGGGTTTTCTATGTATAATATCATGTCATCTGCAAATAATGTCCGTTTCACTTCCTCCTTTCCAATTTGGATCCTTTTTATTTTTTTCTTCATGTCTGATTGTTGTGGCTAAGACTTCCAGTACTATGTTAAATAAGAGTGGCGAAAGTGGGCATCCCTGTCTTGTTCCTGTTCTTAATGGAAATGCTTTTAGTTTTTGCTGAGGTAATCTGTCTTGGAATGTAAGGACTGAGAGAGGTAGTGGGTGCTGGGCAAAGAGAGCAAGGCCAAGAGGCTGGGTTTTCGTTCTAGGTAAGCCCAAGAGGGCACTGACCTCGTGTGGAACCTTGGACGGTGCACTTGGCTGCCCTGGCCTCAGTTTCCTTATCTCTAATGTGAGGGGGTACTTATTTACATTTTCCTCTAGTGTTAACATTTCAAAATCTAAATAGCCATGGGATTGACACACAGAAGAGAGATTCAACTATTCTGCCTGGCTTCAGAGAGGAGGGCTAGTGTCACTGGGTAGGCCTGGCAATGAATGGGTGAAACGAAATCACATTTTCATTCAGCCATTTGTTCAACAAATGTTACTTGAACCCTTAGTCTGTGCTAGAAATCACGCTGGGTTCTGGAAAAACAAAAGTATGCAGACCAGGCGTGGTTACTGCTTTATGGGGCTTAAAGATTTCAACTCAATATAGAGAAAGTCTTTCTAAAAATTTGAGTTGCTCGATGGGAGGGGCAGGCTACCTTGAAGGGCGGTGGTTTGTCTGAGGTGGACAAACACTCGTGGGAAGGCATTAGAGGGAATTTCAGGGTCAGATCTGGGTGAGATCAGACTAGATACCTTTCAGACCTGGGATTTTAAGATAAGGGAGCAAAAAGAAACTTGGTTTTTGGGTGGCCAGATGGAGCGAATACAGAGGAGAATGCTCTGTTAAATTAGAACTTCAGATAAACAGCAAATAATTTTTTAGCCTAGATACGTCCCAAATGTTGCATGGGATATACTTGTATTAAAAACATCTTGTTGTTTATCTGAAATGCAAATGTAAGTGGGTGTTCTATATTTTAACTGGCAACCCTACCTGATCACCTGGCAGCAGTTGGCTTACTTCCCCTTCTTCCTCTGTCCCTGTATGGTCGGTGGCAAGGCCCCCAGAACAAAGGCCAACGCCCAGGCCAGCACCCCCTTCCGCTCCCACCGCCAAGGGCCCCTGGGTTCTTCTCTCCTCCTACCTCCAAGATGGCGACCTCCTGCCGGTTGCGCAGGATCCTGAAGGCAAATGGGTGTCTGGGCCCAAAGCCTGGGGCCACCTCACAGCCACGGAGGGCGATGGCGTTCACGTGGGTCCGCAGGTCCGCGCGGTCCTTGTGGAAATACAGAGTGCCGCACTTCAGGCGGCACCAGCGCTCCCTCCAGCCGTGGTTCACCAGCACGTTCAGGTAGCCTGGGGGGACAGCAGCAGGGTGACTGCCCACAGCCCCAGGGAACCCGCGGTGGGGGGCGCTTGCGTCTGTGCCCCCGGGACAGAGTGCCTGGGCAGCCCCTGTACTCTAGCTAGAAGGCCTGCGGGATGGGCTTCTCCTGGCCTGTGCTCTCAGGCATCCTCTTCTCTCTCTAGTTTCAGCTTCCGGGCTGTGAAATGGGGACTGAGAGTCAATTCGTACATTTGCCCAAGGCCTCTGGACCATACCACGCTTGATGAAAAGGGCAGGAACTGCCGTGTACAAGGAATAAAAGACACGACTCCCCCTCTTGCCTTTCCTCCCCCTAAGCTATCAGAACTATTACTGAAGACAGAAAAGAATGGCTGATACTGACACCTGGTGGCAGCATGTGGGAATAAAAATAGCTAACCAAGATAAAAGAATCATAAACCAAGAGAGAGAGGAAGGGAGAGAGAGAGATAGAAACATCAATTAGCTCCCTCTTGCACATCCCTACTGGGGATTGAGTCCGTAACCCAGGCATGTGCCCTGACCCGGGATTGAATTGGGACCTCCCAGTCCATGGGACGATGCTCATCCCACTGAGCCATACCAGCTAGACTACCCATGTGCTTTAAACATATTTTTTCTGGGTTAGGATATTACTATATATCTAAAGTATATAATTTTCTATTGAATTCCAGCATGGGGAACACTGCATTTAAATAAACAGAATAATATGTTTTCTCTCTCAAACCACTTTTAATTCACATTGAATGCATTTATAATGAAAAGTACTTAAATCTTTTTATCCAAGAAATTTGCTTGTTAAGAGTGAGTGGTAATTTACACACCTGGTATGTTATATGTTGGGAAATAGGATACTCTCCTCTCATTGTAGTGGAGGAAACAGGCCTAGAGACAGGTAGTAATTGGAATTAAGGTTGCAGGGAGCACAGAAATATGGGAGTCGGTTGGCTTTTCCTTCTGCGGAGTGTCAGGGCCTTACGGGAGAGTAGTGATGTAAGGACACGGATTGTTGATGGGGTGGGGATTAGCTATCCAGTGGGAGGACTCTCTCCTCTGTCCTGGGGGAGTCTCTGGGCTTGGCGCCAGGGGACCGAGTCAGCAGTCTGAATTCTCCTTTGCATGCCTAGTACCCACCACAGCACGGAACCTCCTCTTCAGTGGAGGACACCTGCAGGTCGTCGGCCAGCGCCTTCCTCTTGGAGAAGCCGATGATGCGCGTGATCTTTCGGCCGGCAGCCCTGCTCATCGAACCCTTCAGCTCTGCCAGGCTGCTCTTCTTCCCTTTGCCTGTTGCTGCAGAGATGAGTCGGGGGGGGGGAGCCCCAAGTCCCAGGTCTGCCCACCCCTAGCCTTCCCAGAGTGGTCAGGAGCCACTCTGCATTGCTGCCTGTGGCAAGGCCCCTCCCACCTCGGGCACCCTCCGCCTGATCCCCCACAGGCTCCTACCATGTTCGCAGGCCTCTCTGCGGCCAAGGGTGGAACAGTTGTCGCTCAATCCCAGGCTGTCGGAGTCTGAGGTCTGCTTCTCTTGGGATAACCTCTGGGGAGGGACACAGACAGCCCCACATCAGAGCCCTCCGCCCCCCGTCGTTGGTTCAGTCTTCCCCCGACCCCTGCACGTGAGGATTAGCTAACAAATATTTGTTAGCAACCATACCAGGTATGAGGGTGGACAGCAATGACCTGGGACGGTTGTATCTTTGAGATACTTACAGTCTATTTGGAGAGCAATGCAGTTAATTGTAACACTTTGAGATAAATGTCATAAGAGTTTAGACCAGGTGACAAGGAGCTGGAAAGATATTTAAATGGGAGACTAATGTCATGCAACCAGATTAGCAAGCTGGCTCCAGGGGCATCATGGGGGATGGACAAGAAGAGCAAGACTGGAAGCTGAAGAGGTTCTTAAGAGAGTGTCATCCTGGGCAACTTGAGACTGGGTAACAGGATGAACCAAGATGACAGTGAGGATGGAGAAAGAGATGAACTGGCATTTTAAAAAGTCATGACAGGTCAATTAAGTGCCGACTAGGTACGGTGGGAGGTGGTGCGCAGAACAGTCAGCTGGACCTGGGAGGAAGTGATGTCCCTAGGACCACCTTTAGCTGTGGGAATGTGGGAAATCCTTTCATCTCCCCAAGTCTCGGTTTTCTCACCCAAATCACGCTCTTTTCAATGGGCTGCTGTGAGGCACCAGGGAGCCCAAGTGAAATTGCAAGGTCAATGGACCATCATTTCTAACACCTGCACGGTGTGCTATACCACCTCACTTAAGCAACCACACTGTGCCAGCCAGACTCAGGACAGGATAAAATGACACCCCCACCAGGCAGAACTGCACGGCTCTGAGGCCCCGAAACGTCTCTGGCCAAGGACCCTGCAGACCAGGCTTCAGGGAGCTTCCCTATAAATACAGTCCTGGGGTGTGGGGAGGATAGGAGAGGCTGTGTGCTCCCCTCAGGTTCCAAAGGCTGGAAAACTGGCCACAGATATGGAATACACTGGCAAATGCATGAAGAATCACCCCCGTATATTGTGAAACACAAGATACGGTTCCATTTGTTCTGCAACAGATGGTAAGTTTTTCATCTAACATTGATGAAGAGAGACATTGTGAGCACTTTGGAATTCACTTCATGATGATGGTGGCACTTCAGTCACATGATTTCATGGAGAAACAGACCCACCAATACCACATCCCCACTCCCACTCCCCTGAAAAATACCAACCTAAACATTTTAGCTGCCCTCCCCTGTACACTCACCCACAGGAAAGCTCATCCCTGCAAGCTTGCCTCTTTTCTCTCTCTACATACCCTTTAAACTGCACCCCAGTGGACCTGCAGGTGTACACACACACACACACACACACACACACACTTTCTCTCTCACACCATCAGCGATGCTTTCCTTCAGGCCCCACTAACAGCAAAGGCTAAGCGAGGACAGGGTTGAGCTTCCTCTGCAGCATATAGGGCATGATCCCCACCCTTCCTATTCTAGTGACGCGATACCTCTACTTCTGCTCCCTTCCCTTGCAGCCCCTGTCCCTTTGCTGCCTCTGCTCCAGTGAAATCTTGACCATTCTTTAAGTCTCAAGATAGGTGCCATCTTCCCTCTCATCCCTCATCCCTCCCGCTAGCATGAGCTACGAGCTACCGTCCCCCTCACTGCAGCTTCCCAGGGCCCCTCTGATAGGGCAGACAAGCTCCTCCTTCTCTCCAAGCCCAGCCACACTGACCTCCTTCTGATCCATGCTTCCTCCTGCTCCAGGGCCTGTTCCCTCTGTCGGAATGCTTTTTGCTTTCCCTTCCTCGCCAGTTTTTCACCCTCATCGGAAATGTACTCCTCAGAGAAGCCTTCCCTGAGCCAAGAGCAGGCCCCCTGGCACACACTCCAGGGTACCCTCCTAGAACTTACACAGCTTGGCATTTCTAAAACTGTGTGATGATTTGATTCATGTCTGACTCCCCCTTGGAAGGCAGTGGGTGTATGTTTCTGTTAGGACTGCACCCCAGTGCCTAGCACAGCACCTGGCATACTAACTCCATGCCCAGTGGAGCCCAGGATGCCCCTCTTGAGAGGCGGGGTGGCAAAGTCATCAGAGGCCAGGCTGCCTGGTGTACATCCTAGCTCTGTTTCTTATTAACCATGTGATTTTAGGGAAATCTGTATTTCAGCTCCCCCATCTGAAAATGTAACTCATCAAAGAGTTGTAGAAATTAAATGAGCTAATACATACAAAGCATTTAGAACAATGTCGGCCACACGGTCATATTCTCTAACTGCTAGCCTTTATTATATCTTGTCAGACCCAAGTATGTGGGTCTTAAACCTTCCCCTAGGATTTGGGGCTGAGTCCCTTCTTCACCCACGGTACCGGGCAAAGCATAGACTCTAGCATGTATTTGCCAGTGGCCTGCCAACTACTAAGTAAGTGCTCCACTCATGGGGCAGGGGGGCACACTCTGATGGCCAAATACAGTTCTGTCCTGGCTCCATTCAAATGTAACCACTCCTGTCCTGGCAGGGTGAGTCACTCCTCTGGCCTGGCCTGTGCCTTGGACCTGGGCATTCATTCATCCATTCACTAGAAGTTTATCGAGCGCTTATACTGCACCAGCTCTGAGCCGCGCACTCATGGCTTGTATGACACCACTGTGGGTGCCCGCTTCACCTCAGTGGTGTCCCATGAGACTCCCCCCATGGAAGAGCCTGTGCTGAGTCCCTACTGCCTGGCCCAGAGGAGACCTCGTGGAGATCGATGTACCTTGTCCAGGTCCAGTTTGCACAGGAGGACTGGGGATCTGGGCATGTCTGTCCCCTCGGCCCCTGGGGCGGGCTTGCCCACCTCTCGGATGACCTGCGGAGAAGATGCACAGCTGTGAGCAGGTGGGCAGAGGTGCTGTGGAAGCAGAAGGAAGAATGGGGTCTGTGCTCAGGGCCACTGAGCAGAGGGGTTGGGACCACTGGACAGAAGAGAAAGGTCAGTGTGGCCTCCTGCCCCCTAGGTGGGGCACCTCAGGGTATAAAGAGGCTTTCTCCTGTATCTGTCCCTTGAGTTGAAAAGATATGGGGCTAGGAACCAAGAGGTTTGGCTTCTAGACCTTGCTGCATTGCTAATCAGTTGTGTGGCCTTGAGGAAATCACTTTTCCACTCTGGGCCTCAATTTCCCCATCTGTAACTGGGTCATAACTTCACTGGGTTGTCTGATGGGTGTGAAGGGCCATGTGAACTGGGGTATCCTGCACAAGGGTGAGGGACTCGCTTGTGTTGACTGTGTTGGACATTTACAACAGCCTGTGGGGCAGCCGGGGTTATCTCTTCCATTTCAAAGGTATGGACACTTGGACGCCAAGGCATTTACTTACTCATCCAAGGTCACACAGGATAAGCATCCAGATCATGAAATAACAACAGTCACCATTTGTGGTTCACCTCTCAGTGACTTTGCATGGAATGTCCCATTGTATCCTGGCAGGGACGACTGTGGTCCCTAAATTACTGATTAGGATGGTGCGGCCCCAAGGGGCGGGACCATGGTTGCCTGCCCTTAACCTCTGGGCTAATGGCCTCCCTGAACCAGATGTTAAAACAGGCCTCTTGACTCTGGCTGTAGGGCTTCTTTCTCTGACTCCCCCGCCCCTTGAGGGCAGAGGCTCCTCCGACAGTCCTCTCCCTCCCTCCCCTTCCCGAGACAGAGGCAGTGATGAGAAACACTGAACATTCCAGCCGGAGAGCTGGTTATCACAGGCAGGAAGGGAATGGGGAGGGAGGAGTCTGGCTTCGTTGTTCCAGCAGGAAGATCACAGTGGGAGAGAGAAAGGTGTCAGGGTGAAGTGGTGGCAGGGTGCAGGGCTGGAGGGCCCACTGTAAGGGACTGGGGGTGCAGCCTTCACCGTCATCGCACAGTGATCACTGATCTTTACTGAGCACTCGCTGCCTGGCGGGCACGATGTCCAGTGCTCTCTAGAATTCTTACAAGAACCATTAGACGGAGGAGGAGAAGAGGCGAAGTCATCTGCAGACCACACAGCCACTCAGGCCTGGGACTTGAACTCGTTTGTGTGTCACCCAGTCCTCCCTCATCATCACTAGGCCACCCTGCCTGTGGCCTTTGGTATAGATTTCCTTCTAATCCTGGCCCCAACCACTTGGTTGTGTGGCCTTTGGCAAGTCACATAAGTTCTCCGTGTCTCAGTTTCCACGTCTGTAAAATGGAAACAATAATAGTCCCATCGCAAAGAGTAAATGAGGTGATGTATGTAAAGCTCTTAGATCAATAAATGTCACAAAGTAAGTGCCCAGGACGTGATAAGTAACTGCCCCGTGTAGCTGCAAGATGCAGAAGCTGGGCCACTGTGGACGAAGGATGCACATTTCCCATAAGACAAGGAAGGTTTTTCTTAAAAAAAAAAAAGAAAATTAGCTTATGTAATGATAACATCAGCTTCCTTCGTAGATATTACGCTCCTCATTCTGGGAGGTGCATACGTGCAGGCTGGACAGGCCCACAGTAGGGGTGTTAGGAAGGGGTTTCACATAATGAGAAGGAACACAGGCCTCCAGCCTGAGGTCTGTCTCCTAGAGACACCCGAGGCCCATTTCCACACAGAAGCCCAAGCCGCACACAGGCACGGACCCCCTCCCTTGGGCAAAGCCTGTTTTTCCAAGGATGGGAGCCCACCCCACTGAGGGCTGGTCCCAGGAAAGAGGAAGGAAGGGAGGGCAGGTGGAAGGGGGGCAGAGGCCCCTGTACCTTCAGCCACTCCTCGGCCTGCTCCCGGCTCTGCAGTGCTAGCACCAAGACCTCAGTAGCCCCCTGGGAGAAGCGCAGCTCGTGCCTCTTGTGCCGGCTGTCCTTGGGCACGTAGATGACATTGCAGGCATCCAGCGCCAGCCTCAGATGTGGCTGCCGGTCCTTGGAGCTTTTGTAACACTGGACAGGGAGAGAAGAGGTCAGGGCCTCCTGGAGTGGAGCGTGGAGGAAGGAGACACCCATTCAAGAGGCTCTACCTACCCCATAGAGACCCGCCCCCCACCTCAGCCCAACTGTGGGCACTGCATGAAGATAGGCACTAGGGCTGTTCACCCCAGAGAAGAGAGGGGGTGTCTTTGGGCAATCTTCAGATCTGAAGAGGCCCCAGGGGCACAACTACCTATTAGGAACTAGAGATAAATTGTAGCACAATACTAGGAAGATCATTCTAGTCTAAAGAACTTCTCTAAAGAGAACAGGCTGGCCTGGGAGGAAGTCAGCTCTCCTTGCTATGAATGGGCTACATGGGTGGAATGTGGGAGAGAGGATTCTAGCAGAAATGGAGGGTTGGGTTTGGGAAGTCAACAGTTTATCAATAATGATTCTCACTTCCCAGTTCTTATCATGAGGCCAGCATTACCTTGATATCAGAACCTGACAATGGCATTACAAAAAAAGAAATTTACAGGCGAATCTCTCTCATAACAGTTGCCAAAGCCCTAAGCAAAATATTAGCAAATAGAATCCGGACACATATAAAAAGCATACTGCATCAAGGCCAAGCAGGGTTTATTCTAGGGATGCAAGAGTGGTTAACATTCACAAACCAACCATATCATTCATCATACTAAAAGAAAAAAGGAGACAAACAACTACTTATCTCAGAAGCAGAAAACGTATTTGATCAAATTCTGTACCTTTTAATAACATAAACTTAGCAAACTAGGAATAGAAGGGAACTTCCATAATGTGATGACAGAGAACACCTACAAACAACCCACAGCAAACATCAGTCTTGATGGTGAATTACTGAAACTGCTCCTTTGAGATCTGGACTGAGACAAGGACATCTGCTCTCACCACTTCTTTTTACATTGTGCTAGACGTTCTAGCCAGTGCAATAAGCTAAGAAAAATAGATGGCATACAGCGTGAAAAGGATAAGTCATGATCCTAGACTGATTCTGGACTGGGGTTAGCTTTTCACTGCTCCAGAATGAGAAAGGTCATGTTTCAGATGGATGTATGTTAGGCAAGGCTTGTCAACAGACTTTTGGGTAAAGAGCTATTATTTTTTTTCTGAGGTTACGTCCATTCTTCTATTTTTGAATTACTGGTACATTTTCTTTTATGAAATAATAGTGATGAGAGATGGCAAACTAAAAAAAAAAACTTCAAGAAAGCAAGTGCTGCATGGGCTCAGGTTTGGAAAAGACCAATGTATGAAAATGAGGGTGGAAGTATATCTGCTAAAACTTAACAGGTACACCATCCTCGGGGCACACCCACTCGAATCTCCTTTTCGAGTACATTTTCTTTCTCTAAACTGTAAGGTTCCCCATGAGACATGCAACCTGGGGAGCAATGGGCAGTGGCAGCTCATCCTGGGCTATCCCCCTGAACCTGTCTCCAAGGTCCCCTTTTCTCCGACTTTCCAGTGAGCTGACAGCAGCCCCACCTTGACATACTTCTTTCCATAACGTTTCCAGTGAGCCAAAGCAGCCCTGTCTGGCATCTCTCCTGTTGCTTCTTCGATCCCAGGCCCTTCCTTGTTTCACTGTCCCCAGCTTTAATAATAAACATACTCTCAAAAACAAAACAAAATAAAACTTAACTGTGGTTTAGCTCTTGGTCAATGGGATTGTAGGTGGTGTTTTTAAAAATCACTTTTTCATTCTGTTTTGCTATAGTTTATTTATTTATTTACTTACTTATTTATTTTAATCCTCACCCGAGGACATTTTTTGATATTTTTGTTCGGTTCAGATAGAGTGGGAGGGAGAGAGAGAGAGAGAAACATCGATGTGAAAGGGACACATTGAATGGTTGCCACCCACATGACCCAACCAGGGCCGAGGACAAACTGTAACCGAGGTATGTGCCCTTAGTGGGAACCAAACCTGGGTCTCTCTGGACCGCAGGTCAACGCTCTAACTGCTGAGCCAAACCGGCCAGGGCTGTTTTGCTTTAGTTTTATAAACAGACACTTGCATAATGAAAAGTAGCAAACGTTGTTTTAGAGTGATAAAAGCCCAGCCGGAGTGGCTCAGTTGGTGGAGTGTTATCCCGTGCACTGAAAGGTTGCCGGTTTGATTCCCAGTCGATGTTTTTTTCTCTCTCTCCCTCTCCCTTCCTCTCTCTAAGCATGTCCTCAGGTGAGGGTTAAAAAAATAATAAAGGGATAAAAAAATTTGTCTCTGGCAAAACAAACTCTTGGTAAAGTCTGTCAGGTCTTCTAGTTTTTTTGTTTTTTAAAAAATTCTATTCCAGTGGCAGAGCACCAATTTTAAAGCACCAGGCTTTGAACCTCTGTGTGCAAAGCAAGCCCAGAGTAACCGAGGCAGACAGCCCGCACACACACACAGATACACACACGTGCAAGAGTCCACGGGAGGCCAAGAGGAATGCTTCCATGCCCACTCACCAAGAGCTGGTCCTCCTTGATGACGGTCAGCTGCTTGGCCCACTGCCCAAAGCGCTTTTTCCGTAGCAGGAAGGCACATATCCTGCAGTCCCTCACCAGGTGCATGGAGGCCTCCTCGGAGGGCCACTGGTGTGTGGGCTGCAGACCCTTCCCTTCCTCTTCCTCGTCGTCATAGGACTCGTAGGAGCTGCTCATTGCGTCAGAGTCATTGTCTGCAGGCGCCACGGGAAAGGACCTGCCACTGTGCCATCAGCTGGGAGGCACCTCCCCCCCCTCCGCAGGCACCCCTGCTCTGGGGCCCGGGACCACAAAGGGGTGGGTGTGAGGTGTGATCACATAGTGACTGAACACCCACACGCGCGCTGCATTTTACATGTACCACCAGCGTTGCGGCCTTGGTGACTTCACTCCTGAGAGCTTCAGTTTCCTCATCAGTAAAATGTCATAATGAGGAACAGTATCATAGTATCTACCCAACGGGGCTGTTGTGAGAGTCAGTGAATGCGGAGTGTTTGCTGAAGTCCCTGGCACTCAGTGAGTGCTCAGAAAACATCAGCGATTGTCACTACCCCATCATCTCTGCACCACTGTCTCCGGTCATTCTCATGGCACTCCAGAAAATCCCCATTTTATACATAAGGATGCTGGAGGCTCAAAGAGAAGAAATGACTTGTCTAAGGTCAGTCACCAAGGGACAGGGCAAAGGCTCCATCAGGGGCTCCTGACTCCTGTGCCAGTGCCCTGCCCACTGAATCCTGAGGTCACTGAGGGCAAGGGCTTTGGGGCCCCCATGGTGACCCTTGGGCGGTCAGGGGGTGGTGGGCACCTGCATGCCAAGGGTCAGGTCAAGGGGACAGAACCCCCCTGCAGGTCCACTGGTACTCACAGGAGTTCTTCAGCTCTCCATTCATCCTGGTCGAGGGGTAGCTGCTGTCTGCGTCCTCATAGTAGCCATCCACAATGGACTGGGCTGGGCTGCAGCCATCTGTGGGCGTGGCAGAAAGAGTTGCACCTTGGAGAAATGCAGCCAGAGTCCAGGGGCCAGGGCTGGGGAAGACCTTGGACACCATTTCCCCCCCGGGGCGAGAGAGTGGCACTCCCTGCGGCTCTTCCCAGCCAGGGTGTTGGGCCTCCTCGGTGCATCTCATCTACTGTAGCTCCCACATGCCCACTGTGCTCCTGTCACCAGGAACTGCCCTGGTGGGCACTGTCACACCTCCCGGCCTTGTTCGTGCTATTCCCTGTGCCCTCTTAATTTTTCCCAGACAACTCCTACTCACCCTTCAAGACCCAGCTCAAAGATCTCTTCTCTGACCTTGGCAGGCAGAGAGTGGGCAGCCCCTTCTCCGTGCCCCGAGCATTGGTGTGTGTGGGTGTGTGTCCTGGTCACAGCTTGGTCCCTGCACTGCACAGATGGGATCCCAGACCCCTCCCAACTCTGCCTCTGCCTCATTCTCTACCACTCAGCTCTTCTGCTCACTTCCTGATGCATCCCCGTCTTTCTGTCAAAGCAGTACTCGGAGCCTTCGCGACTACAAAGGAGGAAGTGGACTTAGAGGAGCTAATAATAATGCGTGGAAGAGTAACTACAGCAGCTGCCTGTGCTGTTTTCACAACACAATACCCCCCTTCCAGGGGTGCAGACAGGCCAGGGTGGGCGTTATCTCAAATTTTATTCCATTTCAGAATTACCAGCTGTCTTTTTAAAATGCAGATCCTGGGGTTGTATCCCCCAAAACTCTGATTCACTGGTGTGGACTGGGTTGAGGAATCTGCATTAAAAAACCCCAACTATTTAATAGGACATTTAAAAACGTGTAAAAATAGAAAATATATTGAACGCCAAGGAGTTGGATTTTTTTTTCAACAAGGTTATTTTGATGTAGACAAATCTCTGGAGCACACTCTGCAGTCCAGTGGTCTAAGGGCATATACTTTGGGATTGATCAGATTTCAGTTCAAATCTGTCTCCACCATTTACTGAGTGACCTTGGAAAGAAAACAGTTTCTCTGTGTTTCAGCTTCTTCACCTTAAAGTGACATGAACAGTTCCCACCTTGGATGAGTAATGCAATGCATATAAACTCTCAGCACAGTGCACGACACACAGAATATGACACACAGAAAAATGCCAACTATCATTGTTATCATTTCCTCCAATTCCCTTAACGCAGGGATGCAGGTATCAGCCCCATTTTACAGATGGGGAAACTGAGCTACACACACTTTGCTAGTGACAGAGCCTGGATGAGAACCAAGGTTGTCAGCCTAGGGGAGAGGGGCACGTCCCCTCCTTCAGAAACCGTCCCTCACCCAGTCAACCCGCTCTCACACCACACTGCTCTTCAGAGCCTGCTCTGGGCTCCCAGGCCCTGCGTCCATCTGTTTCCGGAGGACGGACGGCAGTGCTCCGATTCTCAGCCACTGGGACATCCAGTTCTATCTCCCAGCAGGCACTCTGAGGCCTCAGTGCTGGTGACATGCCCTGAGGGGTGGACTGGGGGGGGGTGAGGGAGGGGCACCTCACCACAGTGCTCAGACACCTGGCAGGACTGCATAATGTGTGTGAGAGGAAGGATACTCCCTGATGGGCTTGGCGCTCGCTCCCTGGACAAGGCCCCTGGCCCTGCCTGAGGCCTTCCCTTCCCTGCTGCCCCAGGATCCCCGCTGCTTGCAGAGGTGGCTTCTCTGTCCCAGCCAAGAGGGAGTGAGCCTCTGGGCCGTGGAGAAGCCGCCCTCAGCTGAGGGCCTGACCCGGACTCAGGGCCTGCAGCACCTCATTCCCTTCTTCCTCCCTGCTCTCCAGCGGAGAAAACAGTCACCTGCCCCAAAGGCCACAGCTGCTTGCAGGGACACGAGACCCCACGACTGAAGGCTGAAGAGAGCCGCTGACCACCTGTCCAGCTTCACCATTTCACTTCGTTTTAACTAGTTTAGTGATCATAAAAATAATATACCACAGCAGCCCAGAGGTGGAAACAACCCACATGTCCATCAGCTGATGAATGTGTAAACAGAATGTGGAACATTATTTGGCCATAAAGGAAAGACGTACTGACATATGCAATGACATGGATGGACCTTGAGAACATCATGCCAAGGGAAATAAGCCAGAATCAAAAGGCTGCACATTGTATGCTTCTACTATGTGAAATGTCCAGAAGAGGCGAATCCACAGAGGCAGAAGGCAGATTGGTGATCGGCAGGGACTGGGGGAGGGGGAATAGGGAGTGACCGCTGAATAGGTACTGGTTTCCTGCTTGACCAGGAGAGTATCTGGGAACTAGACCGGTGCACAGCACTGTGAGCGCGCGGAGTGCCCCCAACCGGTCACAAGTGCTAGAAATGGTGTTTTCTGTGACGGGTATTTTACTACAGTAAAAAATGTATATGCCCATGTTTCGTGAAAGGCACAGTCAGCACAAAAGCATCTGAATGGGAATATTGGTTCCCTTCACCCAGATTTCTATTTATTTCCCTCAGGAAAGTACTGTTAAGAGTCTCTTGCATATCCTAGAAAAACTGTTAAAATGAATGTATGTGCATGTGTGTATCCTGTTAAAAAATGAACGTATTCAATGAAGTATCGTGGAATTCATTTCTGATCAGCACAGAAGACCTATTTGATTTACCTTTTTTGTGGTTGGAAAATATTCCACTGTGCTGATGAATAATAGGCTAGCAGCACACAAACATTATTGTATACACGTTCAACTACCATGCTGGTCATCCGAAACCATCATGTACCTTTTTTTGTTGTTGTTAATCCTCACCTGAGGATATGTTTTCCATTGATTATATATATATATATATATATATATATATATGTATATGTATATATGTATATGTATCTGTATGTATATGTATGTATATATATTTTTTGTTAGAGAGAGAGAGTGGGAGGGAGAGAGAGAGGGGGAGAGGGAGGGGGAGAGAAAGAGGCAGAGAGAGAGAAACATCGATGTGAAAGAGACACATCGATTGGTTGCCTCCTGCACGAGCCCTGACTGGGGCCAGGGATCAAACCTGCAACCCAGGTATGTGCCCTTGACCAGGAATCGAACCTGTGACTCTTTGGTTCGGGGGTTGACTTTCTGACCATTGAGCCACACTGGCCAGGGCCATTGTGTACTTTCTTGTGTGGAATGTTAAATCCCTACACCCAAGCCAGTGGCTTATCTGATCCTCAAAGCAACAGCCACTTTGGCGACTTGGAGGAAGCCGATCGAGAGACAAGTCAAAACCAAACACTCTCCTTTGTGGCCAGTTTAGGAGACTTCCAAAGGTAATCTGTCCCAGTGCTCTCTAAATTATTTTATTGTGCTCACCTATCTGTAAAAATATAGTCATGAGATATGCTTATTTATGTATAAATCATATATATATATAACTATATGTGCGTCTGTATTATACATACACAATTAAATTAGGCTAATTACAAGCATCATGCTATTATTAGATTATAAACACTACAAAATATTCACATAGAAATTTAAAAAGATGTGTTGATCAAAATGTAAATGAAGCTTCTAGCATTTCTCATACATTCCCTGGGGTGCCCACACTCTGCAGATTTCTGATTTTGACCATGTGCTTTTTTATCATATGCCTTGACTTTATAACCTCGTCCCCTGTAAGATGTGATTCTGCTGGAACACACATCCTGTCACCAGACCACTGAAGAGGACTTGGATTAGCACCAGCTTCAGGGCTAGCGGCTGTGCGGCGGTGGTGGTCTGCGTATCTCCACCCTAGGGCACTTCCATGCATGTAGCCAGCCCCCCTTTCTTATTCTAAGGGGAACAGAGGCCCAGAGAAGGGAAGGGGGTTGTCCAAGGCCACACAGAACTGGGACTAGAGCCCAAACTCCTGACCCCTGGGTCCATACCTACTGATGCACCCAGAGCGTCACTAAAGAGGCCATGTGCTCAGGAGGTGGGCATGGCTGGGTGGCTGCCAGGCTTGGAGCTTCAGGAGAGGAGCCTCCTACCCCTTGCCCTTGACTCCCAGGGGGACCAGAACTTACTGTGAGAGCTGATGTACTCTGGGGACTTGCCTGGCCCCAGGGGAAGGGCCTCCTCATAGTAGTCCTCAGGTGGAGGCCTGTTTGGGAGTGGTGGAGGCAGGCCCGCTGCCTGGAGGGAGGAGGAGGAGGTATGTGAGACTGAGAGGCCAGGAGAGCAGAGGGGAGCAGCACAGCAGGGAGGAGGCTGGGGGAGGGAGGCAGGCGCTCCTACAAGGCAGGATCTGACTGTTGGCCATAATGTCTAATAGACTTGCAGAAGAGCAGATCTGGGAAACCTTAGAGTTTACTTGGTTGGTCCTGTGTTTCTCATGCAAAATATTTTAGCATCAGGGCTCCTCTGTAATGTCTAAAAGTTTTGTGGACTGTCACACAGAAGTAGTTAGCTATACACTGAGTGAGCACATGCAGCATTATCCAAAGCCGCCGTGAGTTCTGTAACGCGCCGAGCCACCTCTACATGCCTATGGGGAACAGCAGGACAAGTACACGTGAGACGTTCTTCAGTGAGGCGAACTGCCTCTTGGCCAAGAGCTTAGGCTCCGGGCTGGGGAACCCTGACTTTACAGCTACACTTTATTACTTTCTAGTTGTGGGACGTCGACATGTCACTTATTCTCTCTGAGCCTCAGTTTCCTTACCTATAAAATGAGGATAATGATACTGCCAACCTCACTCAGTTGCTGTGAGCATGTAAAGGACATAAGTTGTCAACAATTGGTATGGCTGATGCTGATGACAGTGAATCATGCAGTTGACGGACAATGCCTGATGTGAATATGGGTTCCTTGTCCTAATTCTATGGCCCTGAGGCTGGGAACCTTGGATATGATCCAAACCTTATCTTTGTAGGTGAAAAACTCAGGCTCAGAGAGAGTAAGTGGTTTGCCTGAGGTCACAGAGCAGTAGGGAAGAGGGAAGAGGCCACCCAACTTCAGCTCCAGAGCTTTCCCTATCCCTCCACCTGTATCACTGCAGGCACAGTTTGGGTGGAGTTGTCCTTTGGGCCTGAACGGACAGGTCAGTTCACCACGTTGTCTCTGCTCAGCAGTGAGCATGAGTCATGAAAATGTTCTCCTGGTGCACTTTCTGCCCTTAACTACCACGTGGAAGAGAGAACAGGGTCCTATACCTCCAGGAGCGTCCCCAGCACTGGGGGGTGGGGAGCTTCCCTTGCTCCTCCAGAGGAACACAGGGCCTGATGGTGTGGGAAGCCAGTCCATGACTCACATGTTTCAGAGACAGGCTCTTGGCTGGTTCAGGGCTGGCTCCTTTGCTGGGCTCCCCATCGTCCTCCGGCATGTCCCGAAGGTCGCTCAGGTCACAGTCTATGAAGGGTTAGGCCATTGGGCAGAGAAAGCCAAGGATGAGCTTGGCAGAGCAGGAAGAGGGCTGGATTTGGGGTCCACCACCAACTCCATTAGTAACCCTAATGAGCAAATGACTTCATCACTCTGAGACGTGGTCTTCTCATCTGTAAATGGCCTTGTCTATCTCTCAGGGTAATGGAGAGGATCATATGAGATACCTTCGGTACAATGCTCTGCACATTTGTAAGGGTTGTGTCATGGAAGCAGGTGTTCCCTACGTCTGTCAGCCCCTAACACTCTCTCACTGGCCCAGAGCTTCCTCCCTGTGTTGAGGAGCACTGTCCTCCCTCGAGGTGGGCGGGCACTGCACACTCTGCTGGTGGCCCCACCCAGCTGCTCCGCCCACCGGCCACTGCACTGCTCAGCCCAGGGTCCCAGGCGGCCGCTGCTGACCAATGCCAAGTAGCAGGCAAGACAATGCCCTATGTGCCATCCCTTCTTTGGCCTGCATGTTCATCCCTTTGTTTCCTCAAAATTTGGGGATGATTTCCCATGACCTTACAGATTTGACTGGACTTGCAGACCTGGCAAGGCCCAGAGAGGCCCAGGGACTTGCCGAAAGTGATCAGTGTTGTAATGCTGGAGCCAGGCCCAGGTGCAGGCATTTCTCTGCCTAGTCTGGGACTCTTCTGCAGACATGTCAGGAGAGGGTCACTTACCAAATTCTTCAAAGAGGGACTCCACGAAGCTGGGCCCGGAGTGGAGGTCGGCTGTGTTCACATACAGATAGGAGACTTCTTTGGCTGGGAAGAAGAACACACCGACAGTGAGGAGGGTGGGGACCCAGGGCTGCTGGCTCCGGGGAGGGGCCAGGTCTCCCCCGCCCCACTCAGGCTTCTATCCCACACGGGACACAACACTCAGTTGGCAAAGCATGTGCACAACTGAAATGGTTTCCTTGGTTTTCAAACCTTATTTTCGTGTTTACATTGTTACTGAGGATCTCCTTCTCCCAGGAAAAGCATGCTCAGCGCCCGGGACAGAAAGCGGAATACAGGGGCTGCTCTGGGGCTGGCCAGGTGACAGGGGCTCGGCAGGCTAGCAGGCCACAGCCCCTTTCCTCCTCCCAGTCCTGTGAGGCGGCCGGTGACATCGCCCGTTATGGGTGTGCTTGCAGGTGAGGTGTGTGTGAGAACGTGGTGTGTGGTGTGTTTGCGAGTGTGGGACACGGGCAGAGTGTGTGATCTGCAGTGGGCTGAGGACGCAGAAGCACAAAGAGCACAGGCAGGGCCGTGGTGGAGAAGGGCCGAAGTGGGTGCGGACGTCGGCCAGGCCACATACAGTGCTGAATGCTATGCTGTGAGGTGTAGGCTTCCTCCTGCCAGCAGGCCCTGGGGAGACTGAAGGCTCTTGAGGAGCTCTGGGCAGAGTGCTGACGTCTGACCTGGGAGAGGCTGCAGGTTCTGCAGGATGGAGGCCACGGCCATCTTCTTCTCCAGGGTGGTGTCGCTGAGGTACTCGTGGTCCAGGAGGCTGAGCAGCCCTGTGAGCTCGGGGAGTAGCTGCTCCAGCACTGAGGGGAAAGCATGGTCACCGCTCTGCGTCCGGGATCCCAGCCCTGCTCCCACCCACCAGGGGCCAGGGACGCAGGGGCCAGAGGGCAGGCTGGGTGCAGCAGGGAGGCCTCAGAGGCCTTCACACAGCTGTCCCAGTGCTGGCCACCCGGCCTCCCTTGGGACAGCCCTGCTCAGGTAGCTGTGACATTCCTCTGGCCCTCTCCACTCTGCCTCAGACCTCATATGGCCTTAGCCTGGGCACTGAACCTCTCAGGCTCATTCTGGCAACTCTGAGCCTAGGTGGCCCGAGGAGAGACCTCAGGCCTCCCTTTGTCCCAGCATGCCCTCTGATTTGCAGGCCCAGGACCCTCCTCACCGCAGCTCGAGGCTCAGTGCAGGTCCCAGGCTGGAGCCCCTGACCGTCCAGGACACAGGCAGGAAGGGAGCCTTCCTGTCCCATCAGTCCATACGCTTCAATCTCTGGAACCTTCTGTTTCCGGTGCCTTGGCAGGAGCCAAACTAAACATTAACCCATCCCATCCCAGGCCCGAAACTGTCATCACCATTCTTTCTTTCCATGCGACACCAGTGCATATAGGAACTAGCTGGGGATCTCGTCAAAGTGCAGATTCTGACCCAGGAGGTCTGGGTGGGACCTGAGAGTCTGCATTTCTGACAAGCTCCCGGCTGCTGCTGCTGCTGCTGCTTGAGACCACATGGAGTTGTAAAAGCTTAGAGCACAGAATCCTTTAAAAGTTGGAGCGTGCCAAGACCATGATGTCATTGATGTCTCCCTGTCCCGATCAGTAACAGGAACTTGGTTTGCTTGGAGCTGAAGACTGGCCTCATTACAGTAGTAGTATTGTCCTGCTTTGCAGCTCGCCAATCCCTTGTACATAATGACAACAGCTAACCTGTGCTCAGCCCTTTCGTACGTACAGTCTCATATAAATCTCATACCAAGCATTTGCTTATCTCTATTATATGGAGGATGAAACTAAGGCTCAGGGCGGTTAAGTAACTTCTCCAGGGTCAATAGTCAGCATGACCTTGACCTGACCTGGTTCCCTCACTCTATTCCTTTACCCACAGCACCATATTGGCTTGCAGTATTTTGTACAATCCTACCAACACATTTTGAGACAGGTCCCATGATCACCCTCACTTTTTAGATGAAGAAACTAAGGCTCGGGGAAGATAAGTAAATTGCTGGAATTATACAGATGCGAGTAGAAGAGCCAGGACTTCAACTCTGGTCTCTTGACTCTCAACTCCATGCGCTCCTCCCCACCCCGAGCCCTCCTGAGGAAGCAGGCGGACTCTGACTTGTCGCTGCAGGGGCTGGATGGGTAAGAGAGGCTATACCCTCCTGCATAAGAGAACCGGCCCTGGAACTAGACTACCTGGGTTCATGCTCAGGCTCCGTCATTCATTAGCTCTGGGACTTTTGGCGAGTTACTTAGCCTATGACTCAGTTTCCTCCTCTGTAAAGGGGGTAATAACAGCACCTGCTCTGAGGGTCACTGTGAAGATGAATTATGCCAGGCATGAAAAGTGCCTTGCCCCACACATAGTAAATGCTCACCGAAGTCAGCTCTCATTCTGTCAGCAGAGTGTCTCCTGTGCTGATCTGTGCTGTGTGGGTGTCTGTGAACGTCTGTCCACGAGGCTCTAGAAAGTATGGACTGTGAATCTCAGCTTCCTTGGCATCTAGTCTGGGCCTGCTCCGTGTGGGTGTGATTAGAGCAGGAGCAAACAGATGACCACACAAGGGCTTTACAAAAATAGCAGTCTTAGATAGAGAGTGCTGCTCGTTGGGAAATGTGACGTCGCAGTCTCTCTGTGGCGTTCCATCGTCACCTCCAGTTTGTTGGCAATGAGCTGAAGGCGACCCTGAGCGACCATGTCACAAGCTCTGTCTACCTCGGGGCACCGAGGTCGGGGCTTTCCGTGCAGTGTCGAATCTTATCCCCACATCTGTGACTAGGTCCTTGGGAGACCTATGTGCCCGAAAACAGAGAAGCTAGGGGATGGCTAGCTCGAAAGAGGGGAGCCAGGCTGTTTTCCAGGTGGTGCAGTGCCCAGAGCTGCTGAGCCACACGGCTGCGAGGGGCGCTGCTCCCCTCAGACCCCAAGGGAAAGGGGCCCGAGGCCGGCTGTCTCCAGGGCCTGAGCTCTTGCAGTGCCAGGCAGTGGTGTAATGCAGGCTCCTGGCGGGGGTGGGGGTGGGGTGTCACTCTCTGAAGTAGGAAATCATTTTAGCCAAATTTTAGCTATTGTGCAGGAAATGTTTTCAAATGGAATCACAAACCTCTCTGGTCCTCCACAGACACACCAAAAGTCAGTTACCTCAATTCCAAAATACTTCCTGAGCACTAGCTGTGCGCCTCTTGGGGAACTAGAAGATGACTGCGATGGTGTTCCAGGGGCACGCTCTGGCTCCCCCACGCACTCGCTCCGGGGGCCTGCGGGGAGGGCGCTGCGGCCCCGGGAGCTTTCTGGCGGCCCCAGTCAGCACGCTGCTCTGCTCTCAGGCAGGATGTCAAGGCTGTGGGGCGCAGTGGCCGTACCCCCTCTCCCCGTGGTGCTGAAACTCCTTGGCCTCACGACTCCTTGACACTTAAAAATCACCGAGGGCCCTGAAGAGCTGTTGTTTCCTGTGGGTTATGTCTATCAACATTGACTGTATTAAGAATTAAGACAGAGGAATTTAAAGCACACGAATACACAGGCACATATTCCATTATTCTGCGGAGCTACCAAGTCGTCGATGTCAGGTGACCTCTGGAAAATCTCCACTGTATACCCATGAGGCAACGAGAGCGAAAAAGCCATGTAAGGCCTTAGTACTACATAATAGTAGTTTCGACCTTATGGGCCCTCTGAAAGCATTTTGGGGACCTCCTAGACATCCCCCACCCCAACCACACCTTTCAGAGAATTACTGCCCTTCAATGAATGACTTCAAACTTTTTGGACTATTTCTTTAAATAGTGTACATTCATTGGTTCTCATTATATTCACAGAGTTGTGAGACCATCAGCACAACCAATTTTAGTACAATTTCATTACTCCCAGCTCCCTATTTCATCCCCAGCCCTAATAGCCACTAATCTATCTGTTGTCTATATGGATTGCTCTCTTCTGACCATTTCATGTACGTTGAAAAAAATACATGGCCTTCTGTGACTGGCTTCTTTCAGGCAGCATCAAGTTTTCAAGGCTCATCTATATTGTAGTGTGAATCAGTATTTCTTTCCTTTTAACTGATAAATAATATTCCTATCAGTTGTGCCCTCCCTTTCTCTCCCCCTTCCCTCCCTCTCTTCCCATCCTCTCTTTCTCTTTGCTGTGAGTTCCCAGAGGGTTCTTCTTGCTGCTCTCAGCAAGTCCCAATGCGTGGCAGCATTCCTGCTTCTAAAACTCGCCTGCTTCTAACTTCAGGTTTGTTATGATTGTTTCTAAAGTAGTAACGGTTAGGTTGGGAGTGAATGCCCTGCTTTTAAAAACAGTATCAAAAACAGTAGTCAAGCTTTGTAACACTTTGTGTGTGTTTGTTTTTCTTCCTGGTCCTTGATGGGGTTCCTAACATGGGACCTTGACTTTTAAGTGTTTTTTTTGTTTAACTGCGATGTGACCATAAAAGTCCAAATAGCCCTGGCGGGTTTGGCTCAGCAGTTAGAGCGTCGGCCTGCGGTCCAGAGAGACCCGGGTTCGGTTCCCGCTAAGGGTGCGTACCTCGATTGCAGTTTGTCCCCGGCCCTGGTTGGGTTGTGCCGGTGGCAGCCACTCGATGTGTCCCTTTCACGTCGATGTTTCTCTCTCTCTTCCTCTCTCTCCCTCCCACTCTATCTGAACAAAAAAAAAAAAAGGAAAAAAAAAAAAAAAAGTCCAAATAGTGCAAAAGACAATGAGGGAGCTGAGCGAATCTGGGCAAAGCAGCTGAGGCGCGAGGAGCTGCCCGGTGCTGGTCCCTGCAGCGTGGAAGGAGCTGGCAGTCAGCAGGTGGCGGAGGGAGAGCCACCCCACATTTCTACAGTGCAGCTGGCCGAGGGAGCGTGAGCCACAGGGGAAGCTCAGCCTGCAGGCAGGGAGCGGGTAAGAACCCTTCCCTAGAACTGAACCTTATCATGTGTTGGGAGTTAGACTGCGTCATCTCATTTAATCCTCATAAACCGCACAAGAGGTATGTTTTATTGCTGTCTGTGCCCTACAAGGCAGGAAACAGAGGCTTGGAGAAATGAGGTCATCCGGCCTGTAAACAGTGAGGCCGGGACTGAAGCCCAGGTCTGTCGGACTTCAAAGCTGGCCCTCCTGCTCCTGAATCCTCCATCAGAAGACTTTGGCTCAGAGCAGCAGAGCCCAGGCTGGGGTGGGGAGCAGGCGGGCATCCTCTCAAAGCTCTCCCGCTGAGGGCCCTGACTATGACTTCACCGGGGCCCCTGACCTGGGGGTCCCCTCACTGGTGGGTGAGAGACCCTTACTCTGGGTCTGAGATTCCTGCCCAGTGGGCCTCTCCCCACGGGCCCCTTTGAACTTCAGAGTCCTACCCATGAATATCTCACAGAAGAAAAACAAGTAACCCAAAGCATACAGCTACCCTAACAGTGGGATCTCATCCCAAAGAAAACCTTACACTCCATACAGGAAAGCTTTCAGCCAGTGCTCGGTTTTCCAGGACACGACAGGACTCCCCCGAAAAGCTGGCTTTCAGATGCAGTGAAATAGAGGTGCCTTTGATGGCAGCTTTGTCCTTAAAGCCAGGTAATTCAGGCCACAGGGATTTAAACCACAGAGAATTGGATTTGTAGAAAAATCATACAGTGCATATGACACATGGTTCTGCCAGGGTTCATACATACCCCTAGAAAACAAGCTCCAGCTTTAGCAAGAATAAGACTCTCCCAGAGGGTTTGTTGGACATGCTGATTCCCAGGCCTCCTATCAGGAGAGTCTGATTCAGTAGGCCCTGTGCTGGGACCCAGGGCATCCTGGTGTAGGCAGTCCAAGGTTCAAT